ATAAAATTTACTATTTTGGGGACCAGAGATATAGTACAATGGGTAGGATGCTTGCCTTGCACACACTTGATTTAGTCTTGATCCGCAGCACTCCATATGTTCCTCCGAGTCTGCCAGGTATGCTCCCTGAACACAGAGACAGGAGTAATCTCTGAGCACAACTGGGCGTAGCACAAAAACTTAAAAACAAGAAAATAAATAAACAAAATAAAAGGTATCATTTTAAAAGCAAGTAATAATTTAAATAGGGAAAAATTAAGTAAGTGATGGTGGTAGCTTTTAGAAAGCTATAAAAATATAGAAAAGTATATTTAGATTATAATTTGGAAGTTGTATTTATGGGGCCTGCTTGTTTCCCAGAGGTGATAGATATATTTCCATATAAAAATATTAACTGCACTTTATACCAGAAGCAAAATCTATAAAAATAAAACATAGATGCTATAAAAATTAAAACCTTCAGTATGTGAGAAACTCTAATAAGGGGACAAAAATAACAGCAACTGATTTATAGAAAATGCTTGATAACCAACTATCCAACAAAGACCTAATATCGAAACTATATTAAAGAATTCTCAAAATTCAATAGTTAAAAAAATTCAATTAGCACAGGGGCTACCTGCATAAATGGACATTTCAACAATAACAAAAATCAGTACTGAGATTGCAAATAAGCATATGGAATGATGTTCAATGTCATTACTGATCAGTGAAGTGCAGAAAAAAAGATAAAAACTGCAGAGTTAATGCAAATCAGAGACAATTTTGATTAACCAACTACTACCCAATGAATACTATGTCTTCACATTCCCCAAATAATGACATAAATGCCCAGAGGAGAATAATGTGGAGGGTGGGGGTGGGGGAAGAAAAAGCAACTATAGTGAATTCTGAATGTACTTGTTTGCAATCTGAAACAGATTTGAAAGTCAAGTAGCTTGATTTTAATATCTTAAATTTGAGCAAATATTTAAAGATTGCTATTTTATATTCATTTAAAGTCCTTTGGGTTTTTTAAATTATTCTAAATATTATAAAAATGACAATGTTGGGATATGCTACAACATAACTATTAAAAAATGTACAGACATAAATTTTTTTTTTTTTTGGTTTGGTCTATCTTTATTGTTCTGGTCCAAAACCCTAAACTTTTGTGTTTTTTAAATATATTTTTTATGGTGCAGCACTCATTAATACTTTATAAGTAAAAATACATATTTTTAGAGTTGTAAGATGTAATAAACATTAAATACCAAGCAAAATTTTAATAATTACCACTTAATAATCATATTTCAGAGATCCCCAAATTTGTGTGGCCACTGCTCACTTTTTATTAAAAATTACACAGGGGCTGCAGAGATAGTACAGTGGGTAAAGCATTTGCCTTGCATGTGGCAGACATAGGATCCATCCCTGGCACCATATATGGTCCACTAGGAGTGACTCCTGAACACAGTGCCAGGAGTAAGCTCTGAATACCAATGTGGTCCAAATTAAAAAAAAAAATTAACCAGTATCCTTAGGAATACAAATTGACCTTATTTAAGTGGTAAAAGGTAAAGGTAAAGGCCCTCCCGTTGATCGTCGATTTGCTCGAGCGGGCCCAGTAACGTCTCCATTGGAGACTTTGTTGTTACTGTGTCTGGCATATTGAATACTCTCGGTAGCTTGCCGGGCTCTCCGAGAGGGGCGGAGGAATCGAACTCGGGTCGGTCATGTTGGCCGCGTGTAAGGCGAACGCCCTACCCGCTGTGCTATCGCTCCAGCCCTTATTTAAGTGAACAAACATAAATTGCTCCCCAAGCCCCAAAATGGCACCCAAAGCATGCCATTTTCAGCAGCCTGGATTGTGGGTCACGGTGGGAATGGCATTTACCTATTTGAGGGAAAGACTGAATTAGAATTTTAATATTTCTTTCAATGTAAATTTTATTTTTGATTCATCATGTAAAACACTTTATTTTCCTAATTGTTTTCCCATTTCAAATCTGGATGTGGAAAACCTCCATTTCAAGTTAGAAAGACAAACGAATCTAAAGACAGAATTAAAAGATTAAGGCAATTAGCTTGAATGAGTTACCTTGCAAAACAAATTCAGATTCTCTTAAAAACTAGAGTAAGAATTAAGAGTATCTGCTTCGTAAGCAATTCTATTTCTTATGTTAGTTCAGACCATTTCTTAAAAACAAGTTTAGTGGGGGTGCAGCAATAGTACAGCAGGTAGGGCATTTGCCTTGCATGTAGATGTCCTGGGTTTAATACTTGGCACACCTCCGATCCTCTGACCCTACCAGGAGTGATCTGAGAGCAGAGCCAGAAGTAGTCCCTGGGCACTGTTGGGTGTGCCTCCTCCTCCCCCGCCCCAAAAAAATGTTTAACACATTTTTATATACATAGGCTTTTCACTTACCATAACAAACTATTTAGTCAATATTTTCTGCAATATGTAGAAGCACAGTGATCTGTTTAAAGAAATAGGTTATATGGAGATATTTACAAAGGGTCCTTTTATTTTAATAGGATATTTTATTTTACGAAATCTCTCATTCAATAGAACTTTCAAATAGCTACATTATTAGTATTTTACAAATAGAAATCAATTTAAAAGGACCTTCAGAAAGAAAAAAAGACCTTCAGGAACTACAGAGAATTAGTAAAAAAATACAGTAGTAATACATGTATTTCCTCTTAATTTTTCACAGTATTTAAAAATTTTTACTTTCTCCTTAAATTGTGATAACATAGATTATAATAGTATTGATATTTATGCATTATGCACATAACATTGCTATATTAGCATTTTAAAGCCTCTTGGCTTTTAAATGTAATGTGCAGGATACATTAAAATATTACAATACAAGTAGAATGAAGTCAATTTTTAGGGATTTGTCCACTTTTTGAAAGACAATTTTCCTTCACTATTTTTTTTATATTTACTCCACAAAGTTATTCTGGTCTTAGAACTACTGTATAGACTCAGTGACATTTACACATTGCTGTCAAAAGTTCTAAGTCCTGTCTTCCTTTTCTATACATAAATCTAGGAAAAAAGAGTTTGTCCACATTTTATCTTTAGAGGGTGGGCCACACATGGTCCTACTCAGGGCTTACTCATGGCTCTATGTTCAGGGATCACTCTTGGCAATACTAAGAAGATCATTTGCAGTGCTGGGAATCAAACTAGTGTGGCTGCATATGGGGCAAGGACCCCTAACTCTGTACTCTCTCCTTGGCTCCCACAATTTATCTTTTGATTTTTAAATTTTTATAAAGTTCTCCTTATGAGGATTTACTATCTTGAGAAAATAAAGTTTTGATTCGTGAAATAGTAAATCTCAATGTTTCTGAAATCTGTTTGTTTTTTCATAGCAACACACTTTTCATATCTAGGTTTATTAAATACCTTTCTCAACATTAATGCAATTGTTAAGAAATCATTTGCAGTCCATTATTGATAATGCTGTGTGACTACCTTTCTCTTCCCTCCTATTATCACCTTAGCTTAGACTCTAAAACTCTCTTTTCTCATTTAGTAGAGTTTTGGCTCACTTGCTTTTGATTGGTAAGACCATTTGTTCAAAAAAATTTTAAGATTAGACTTCTTGAAAATGTGGTGAAGTACTCGCCAAGGCTTCCAAAACTTCAGGTCTACCCCAACCACTTGAGAGCTGGAATAAGATGACAAATGTGGATGACCGTGGAACTCACAAGACTCCAGTCAGTCTCTGCTATCAAAAGAATGTCAACACCACACCTATCTCCAAAAACTGGACAATTTCACTCGTTTTGCTTTTCCTTTTAAATTTCTATAATCTGGGGGGTATTTCTGGCCACCACAAAAGAACGAAACTAAAATGAGGTCCCCTAACTCTGAACACGTCGTCCGCCCTACCCCCTTCCCTAAAGGGCAGAATCCAGAGCTTGCGTTAGAAGAAAAATCATTTCTCAAGGGCAAGCGAGGTGCAGAAAAGAGCCTAGGTGGAAGCTGAGGCAAGTCCACTGCCTGAACGGAGAAGTCCCGAGAAAAATCTTATTCTTAAAAAAAAAGAGTAATTTTGTGGATCTGAATCATTATTTTTGTGTCAATCTTCGTGACTCCGTGAGGCACCAAATCTGAGGAGTGTGGGTAAATTAGATTTTTTTTTTTTGTCCTGGGCCACACTGGGCGATGCTCAGGGATTACTCCTGGCGCTGCTGGGGGGCGGGGCTCATAAGGGATTGCGCAGATGGAATCCGAACCCGAACCCGGGTATCTGAGGAAAAGGCCACCCCCGCTGTTCTATCTCAGGCCCCTTCACTCTTAAGACTCTCAAAACTTCCCTGACTGGAGGTGCTGAGAACCAAGACCCAAAACCACCTCACCACACTAAAATAATAATAATAAAATAGTAATCATCATCATCATCATTAGAATCAAAGGAGTTTTCCCGGCAGCGCTGAAGGGCGCGTTTTTACGGATAAAAGGGAAATCCAAAGAGAAGACACCAAGAAGCGTTTAAGTAGACAAGAACGCTCGGGGAGTAAGTGGGTCCAGGTCAGAAGTCAGATCGAATTTGGAGGTTTCGGTGGGGAAAGACTGGGGATTAAAAAAAAAAAAAGAGGGTTTGGCAATTTTTCCAGCAGGGCGGACCACTGAGGGACTGGGAAGGGGGAGGAAGCAACGAAATGGCCCGTTCCGAGGAAACAGTGAGAGCACGCCACAGGGCGTCTGAGGCCGCAGGGGAAAGGGCGGGCGGGCCACAGGTCCCCAAGGGCGGGCTCGGTTCGAATCCGCGGCGACCGACGACAGCAGAGGGGAATCCCCCACGCCCAGCCGCCAGCGACGTTCCCCCCCACGCGGCGCCTTCCCGTGGCCGTCCGAGGAGCGGCGTCGGCGAGGAGGCGGGACTTCCGGGATCCGGCGAGCCACTTCCGGCCGCGCCGGAACTAACCCGTGGGCAAAGCAGCGGTGCCCCCCGCTCCCGGCGAATCGCCTGTTCCCGCGATTGTGGATGGGAACTGGGGGGATTTATTTCTGGCGGGGGGCGGGGGGGCTGCGTGAGAATCAGGCGCTGAGACATGGACAGCCGCTTGCAGGAGATCCGGGAGCGCCAGAAGCTACGGCGACAGCTCCTCGCGCAGCAGGTCCGCGGCCCGGGGGGGGGGGGGGGGGGGAGCTGGGGTGCGCGTGCGCGGCTGTCCCCGTTTTCCCCCCCCCCTCCCCACCCCCCTGACCCTTCACCCCACGCCCGCCCGCCCTTCGGGGCTTCCCGGAGTTGTGTTCACTTCACCGTCGTGGCTCTCGGCCAACGAGGTTCCGGGTTTCCCCTGATCGCTGGGAGGTCTAGAAAACGTTAGTGGCCCTGCACGGGATGCATCGCCCGCAGTTCCCGCAACCTGATTGGGGCTTTTGCTCTTTCCGGGGTCTTCTGCCTCCTGCTTCTACTCGTAGTTTTAACACCTCGTCCCGGAGAGGGTGACTACGTTGTGAAATGTGTGAAATGAACCCCCCCCCCCGCTTCTTCTTTTTTTCTTAAATTTTCCCTTCACTTTGATGGGAGCAGATCTAAAGTTTGCATTGGAAGTAGAATAAGTTATCGGTGATTTGGATTCTGTTCTAACGCTCCTCAGTCACCACAGTCTAGGTGCTAGTGACTTTCTCAGGAGGATTAACGATGAGAGCGGCTTCAGCCGATTAATTTGCTCTGACGCGCTAGTCACTGGCCTGGCGGGCCAGTCATTTGGAGCTAGGTTTGTGTCGAGATCTTGCCTTCACTGTCTCCAGGTCTTGCTTCACAAAGCAATCTTCACTGCTTCTTGGGGGCGAGGAAGTTGCGTCTCAGGGAGAAGTTGAGGGCACGCTTAAAACCAGAGGCTGGCTTTTCTGATAGTTTCTTGGCGTCATTGAAAATGATGGGCGGGACGCTCATGAGCTTTAATGCGGCACCGTATTGTTCCTTTCTCAAAATATTTTTTTTTAATAACTGAGTTTAAAAACCTATGTTCTTTCTTCATCTGACGAAAAGATTGATAGCAGAGCGCTAAAAATTGGGGTTTTGGAATCTGATCTATTCTTGGACCACTGATGAATCCGGACAAATTGTAAATCAGTTCTCTGTCTCTGTCTCTGTCTCTGTCTGTCTGTCTGTCTCTCTCTCTCTTTCTCTCTCTCTCTCTCTTAAATAAAACGTTGTTGGCCGGGGTCAGGCATAGGGTGTGATGGTACCATGTGCAGTACCGGTGATGGAAGCTGAGTTAGCCACATACAAGGCAAGAACTAGTGATCTGTACTGTATCTCTTGCCCTGTAACATTTTTTTTAACTTCAATTAATTTTTATTTTTACATTTAATTCTTAAATTGAATAATGCAATTTCAATTTCACTTTGAGACAAAAAAATCACATTTACATTTTAGTTTTACAAGCAATTGACAAAAAAACAATTATATGAACAATATGATTTTTTTTTTGCTGTGCCAATCCCACTATATTTTTTTTAATTTATTTTTTATTTTTAGTGAAACACCATGAGGTACAGTTGTAGATTTACAATTTTTTGTGCTTGGGTTTCGATTATACAATGATCAAATACCCATCCCTCCACCGGTGCCCATTTTCCACCACCATGGATAATATCCCTCCCACCCCCATCCCTCCCATCTCACCCTGCCTCTGTGGCAGTTGCCCTGTAACATTTTAATGAAAGTTGGTTTATTTACTATCAGAAGAGCAAAAATTACTGTTTTTAATAGCATAATGCCTATTACACTATGAACATTATTAGCTCCCCCCCCCCCCATTTTGGTGATTGCTTGCTTTATTCTTGTAAGTAAGTAAGTAAGTAAAGGCCCTCCCGTTGATCATCGATTTGCTCGAGCGGGCCCAGTAACGTCTCCATTGGAGACTTTTGTTGTTACTGTGTCTGGCATATCGAATACTCTCGGTAGCTTGCCGGGCTCTCCGAGAGGGGCGGAGGAATCGAACTCGGGTTGGCCATGTTGGCCGCTTGTAAGGCGAACGCCCTACCCGCTGTGCTATCTACGGCCATACCACCCTGAACGCGCTTTATTCTTGATTACTTAGGAAATTAGACCAGAAGTGTGACTCAGGAATAGTTCAGTGGTAGATAGCCCTTGCCTTGCATATTTAAAGTCCTAGGTGCAATTCTTGATACCATCTAAATGAATAAATAAAATGGGATAGATTAACTGCAACGAAGTGTCTTAATTTCAAAATGTAACTGAAAGCCTGAAAGGAAAATACAGTAGGTAGCAACCTGGATTGAATCCCCAGCACCACTTATGGTCCTGGGAGCACTGCCAGGAGACTGATCCCTGAGCATTGTTTTCATCAGTCCAGATTGTCCTTCATTTACAGGGTATTGTTCCAAAGTGTCTTCATTTTGTTCTCCAAGATAACATTCATTTGCTGAGGAAGTTGCAATTAAAAATAAAATGACTTAATCTATTAAGTGCAGCTCCAGCTGGCTGAAATGACTGTGCAGTGTGTTGGCATCTAATTTTTTTGTTTTTGCCTTTTTACAGTTGGGAGCGGAAAGTGCTGACAGCATTGGCGCTGTGTTAAACAGCAAAGATGAGCAGAGAGAAATTGCTGAGACGAGGGAAACTTGCAGGTCAGCAAATGACTTTTTTTAACAATTGTATTAATGTTGAGAAAGGAGCATTGTTTAATAAATCTAGGTATGAAGTGTGTTGCTATGAAAAACATCAAAAACAGATTTCAGAAACATTGATATTTCCTGGTTCACAAATTATGACTTTTTATTTTTTCAAGATAGTAAATTCTCATAAAGAGAACTTTATAAAAATTTCAAAAATGGAATGGTCAAACAAGCATCAGCTTATATGCCAAAAATAATTATATTTCTAAAATTGTAAGACATGGGGCCAGAAGGATAGTACAGAGATAGGGTGTTTACCCTGCTTGCGGCTGACCCAGGTTCAATCCTGGGCATCTCATATGGCCCCCTGAGCACTGTCAGGAGTAATCCCTGAGGAGAGAGACAGAGGTAATCCCTGAGTACTGCTGGGTATGACCCCAAAACAAAATATTTAAGATGAACCATTCCTCTCAAAGTGACGGCCGCTGATAGTTCATGAAGCATTTTGGAATTGTTTCAGTACTTTATTTATAATTTGAATATGAGTTTTGTTCTAGGTAGATAAGAATCTTCTATATACAGAACTTTTTGTCAGACATCTGATAGGTGCTTTTCCTGTTTTGTTAAAAGGAAGTCTGGAATTATGAAGTAGATTGAGTGACTCTTCACATGATTTGTAAACTAGGTGACTAGTCTGGAAAATTTTAATCTTGCTCTCTTTCCATAAATTGTTATGTACCATTATCAATAGAGTCATTTGTACAAATTGCATATATTTGTATGTGATATTTCAGTTTAAAATTTTAGGGCATCCTATGATACCTCTGCTCCAAATGCAAAACGTAGGTATCAAGATGAAGGAGAGACAGATGAAGATAAAATGGAAGAATATAAGGCAAGTAGAGACTGTCGCACTTTGGTGGTCAAGAAAAAAATCTAATTCTTATATTAATATAGAATCTTACCCTGTCACTGTCCTTCTGTTGTTCATCAATTTGCTTGAGCAGGACCAGTAACGTCTCCATTGTGAGACTTGTTGTTACTGTTTTTGGCATATCGAATACATCATGGGTAGTTTGCCAGGCTTTGCCGTGAGACCGAGATACTCTCAGTAGGTTGCTGGGCTCTCCTTGCCGGGCTCTCCGAGAGGGGTGGAGGAATCAAACCTTGGTCGGTCGTGTGCAAGGCAAACACCCTACCTGCTGTGCTGTCTTTCCAGCCCCAGGAAATCAAATTTGATGAACAAATTTGCTGATTTCTATTTTTTCTGGGGGGGAGGGAATGGTTGGCCCATACCTGAGGGTGCTCAGGTGCTATCCCTGACTCCGTGCTTGTGGATCACTCCTGGTGGTGCTTCAGGAATAATGGGTTGACCCCAGGCCTCCTGCATATAAAGTATTTGGTTCAGTTGTTAACTCTCCAGTCAAGAAAGTTGGATTTTAATTTTAGTTACTTATTTGTGGGGGGGGGGTGGCATGGCGGGACTTACAGCAGTGTTCAAGGCCAGCAGTTTTCAGGATTCACCATGGATACATCTTGCTGGTTTGCAGGGAAAGGGGCATGTGTTACTCAGGGTCTCACCTGCAGAGCTACCACTTAAACTATATTCCTGACTCTAGAACATTCCATTTTAAAGCGTTTGAAATAATTGTCAGCATGTAGATAACCAGGTAAATTCGGATAGCTTTATCATTTTAATGCAAGATTTATGTGGGCTTAATTATGTAAAGCTCTTCATATAGTGTCTTGTTAAGTACTGGGCTATAATATATGAGTGAGGAGATAAAAGTATGTTGGAAACTGATTTTTGCATCAGTGTTGCACGGGTAGGCGGTCTGAGACAAGGAACGTGAAAGAAATTATGGCTCACGGAGGATCGCAAGATTCGCTCAGATCTTGTAACAAAGAGCAGTCTTTTCAGCTTCCTTTTATTTGCTGGCTTATTATAATCATGTCCAATGAAATTCAACAGCATGGGAAGAATGACCAATTAAATTCAACAATGTGGTAGGAGAACATGATCAGTTAAAGGAAGAAAGATATAATTAGTTAGAAGAAGAAAAATATGGTCAGTTACATAGGTCACTACCTCCTCACATCTGAAAACAGTCAATTACATCATGACCTCCTCACTCCTGAAAACAGTTATATCTAAAGTTTAGCTGGTTCTGAAATATGTGAGAAGAGGAAGCTGCTACTTTGTGCTGTAGGAATTTGCTGCCCACAGAGGGTCAGTTTTGCCTTTTCCATATCAATCAGACTCTCAAGCTTAGGCTTGTCCACTTAGTGCAATGTGGGGTCCTGGATCTGCTTCCTGAATGCAGGGCAACGTCCAAGAACGCATCTTCATGATCTGGTTGGGCACCGTCACATCAGATTTTGGGAGGATGCAGTATTTTGCTGGGATTGTGTACTCCATGTTAACCATATAGGCTAGCACAGTTAAAATTCTTTAGAGAAGGGGCCAGAGAGAGATTGCTCAGTCAGCTGCGTGCATGCTCAGTAGAGTGTGTGCTCGATGCAGGAAGTCTGCGAACCATCCTTGGCACTGAATGGTCCGTTGACCAATCCCTGGGTGTAGCATCTACCTACTCCCCAGAAAAGCCTGCTGTTTGGCAAATGAGTGCCACCTGGCTGTGTAAAGCCATTTCTGAGGGCCAGAGTGCTAGGACAGGGAGTAAGACACTAGCCATGCATGCAGCTGCCCCTCGTTCAGTCCATGGCACTGCAAATGGTCCCTTGAGCATCACCAGGTATAATAATCCCTGAGCACCACCCATTGTGGCCCCACAATCCCCCAACTAAAAAAAAAAACCCAAAAAACCCATAAACCATTTTTGAGAGAAGCCCAATAAAAGCCCAATTTATAAATCTATACTCTGAATATTTAATTGAAAGTATAAGACACATATCTGCATTTTTAGTAATTTTTATACTGCTATTTTAATAAAGAATGAGCCGTTTCAGTGTCTAGAGAGCTCAATTATGCTGTTATCTAACCTCACAAATATTGTTTTGTGCTGTATTTTGCTATATGCTAAAGTATAACAGATTTTTTTATTATTTTAGGTCAAACTATACAGCGCCCAAGATTATAAGCTTTTGACTTATAGAAATAGCAGTTTCATATAAATAGCCCCGTAAGTGGTCGTATCTTTTGTGTTTGTTTTGGGAGCCACACTCAGCGGTGCTCAGGAGTTCTCCTCGCAGTGCGTGGGTGACTATATGGGGTGTCAGGGATCGAGCCTGGGCTGGCTGGTTGCAAGGCCAACTCTCTCTGGCCTGGTGGTCATATTTTTTTATTTGAGCTAAATTTCTGTTAATTTTTGTCTTTACATTTGGCTCAATTCTAATTTGACAAAACATTTAGCCGTAGAAACTATTTACTATTAATAAGATAAAAATCTGTAAAAGTAATCAACTGATTAGATCTTTTGATGAGAAAGTGAAGATTTTGGTGTTTGACTTCCATGGTGATTTAAAAAGTTTATTATATAGTACGGAAATATAATCGGCACTTTGATTTTTAAATAATCAAGGTATCATGCTACATAAAATATACGTTCTATACAAAAAATGTCTACTTAATCTTCCTTTAACAAGGATGAACTTGAAATGCAACAGGAGGAAGAGAATTTGCCATATGAAGAAGAGATTTACAAAGATTCAAGTACTTTCCTTAAGGTAAGTAATCAAATTTTAAGATAGCACATTTCAGCTCTGTGTCTGAAAAGATTGTAAATGCCAGTTGGGTTTTCAGATTTTGTTATTAAGGTATTATTATAAAATATAGTTTAAGCATATTCGTGAAATATTTTAATACCTGGCTTTTAGGATTAGATCATGCTGGATTAACATTTTGGACTATTGAATAATTTTAGTTGGGGTGTTTTTGAATATTGCAACGATTTTTCATTTTGTTACTCCACTTATGTTTTATATAATCTCATAAGAAAGCAAGGATCAGAGTTAGTGTATCTGCCATCAGAGTGCGTGTTGTTAATTTAATTTTAACATTTTCTTCAGGGAACACAGAGTTTAAACCCCCACAATGATTACTGCCAACATTTTGTAGACACTGGACATAGACCTCAGAATTTCATCAGGGACGTAGGTATGCCAGAATTGGTTGGATATACTATCATAACTCTTGGATTACCTGCATGTAATTTGTTCTTTCTGTGGATTAAATTTGTAACAAAATGATTTTTCCTCGCTTGTTTTTTCTCTGTCTATTCTCAGTGATTCTGGTATATACTTTTTCCCTCAGTCTTTTATCCACTTTCTTTTTCCTTCCTTTTGTTTTCTTGAGCCATACCCCTAATGCTGTGGGCTTACTCCTGGCTCTGTGCTTGAGAACTGTATGTGGTGCCAGGGATCGAACCAGAATCAGCCCACATACAAGGCAAGCACCTTAACCTTTGTACTATCTCTCTGGCCCTGACAGCATCTGGATTTTTGCAGGCATGTGGTGTTAGGGTCATGAGGTATAAAATGTGTATGTGACACATGTTAATAAATTTTTTTTAAGAGGATAGAAAAATAAAGTGTGTGGGTGTGGTTCTGTTTACTTGGCAGGACTCATAGCCTTCCCCGAATTTGCTGATACGAATTCTAATTCTATTGACATTTTGAATTGACTGTTTCTCTACTCAGGTTTGGCTGACAGATTTGAAGAATACCCTAAACTAAGAGAGCTCATCAGGTTGAAAGATGAGTTGATAGCTAAATCTAACACTCCTCCTATGTAAGTGATTTTTTTGGTTTATTTACTTTCCGTTCCCAGTACAGGTTCAAATGTAATTATTTTATTCACTGATAGCATGTTTATCATGTTAATGCACTCTGTTTCCTCTTTAGAGTAAATGTATTCATTTGAAACTTGAGTGCTGAGTAGTTTGCTTAAATTTTTTTTTTTCAGTTTTCTGTATTATTTTGTCTATATATTTTTATAGAAAGACTTAGATGAAGGGAAAAAAATCTAAAGTTAAACTTTTAACTCAGCATTCAGAAATACATTTGTAACATTTTGAATATGATAGATACTGTTTTTTTTTTCTGCTTTTTGGGTCACACCTGGCAATGCACATGGGTTACTCCTGGCTCATGCACTCAGGAATTACTCCTGGCGGTACTCAGGAGACCATATGCTAGGAATCCTAGGATGCTAGGAATTGAACCCGGGTCAGCTGCATGCAAGGCAAATGCCCTACCCACTGTGCTATTGCTCCAGCCCCAGATACTTATTTGGAGCTATTGCTAAACAGAATGTTTTCTTCATTATCATATAAGAAATGTATGTAAGGCCTTTGAAATTGTAGAATCTATTATTTCACACTTAGCTTACTTTGAACATTTTTTTTTTTTTGCCAAGATGTATCTATTCATGATGAGAGGAACCACAGATAAGTCAGAGTGGTGAAAAACATTAGTATACTTTAATATTTATTCTGGTTAAAAATAGTATAACGTATTATGTGCCTAAAATACTTTATAGTATATGAAAATACCCCTTTAGTAAAGGCCGATGATAGTTTATACTGAGTAACTGGAAGGTACTCTCAATATAAATAAGCTTATACAAGCTAATAAATGAAAACTGCATCCATCTTTAGAAAATTCTGTTGGGAAATTTTAAAAGCTGAGAGGTAGTTTTTGTGATTTAACTAAACAATTGAGAAAAACTTAGAAATTTAGATAATGGAAGGGGGCTCAAACATCTTTGTGTGGACTTTCACTGTAAAAATGAAAGAATTGGGTGGATATGAGATGTAACTACATTCACATTGTAGGGCATGTAGAAGAGACTTATACTGAGGAGAGAGATCGCAGAGAAATATACTGAAGAAAGATTTCCCCATCATAAAAAAAAAAGACTTTAAATAATTAGTTCATGATTTTGTAGTGTTTAGTGAGATTTAAGAAATTTTTATTTCTTTCTTCAAGATACTTGAAAATATCCTGCTCACTTTTTTTCCTCTCTGGTTTGTGCCCAGACAGTTGAACTGTCCACCTCTCCACCTCTGTCACATTTTATGCTTTAATCAAACAGGTACTTACAGGCAGATATAGAAGCCTTTGACATCAGAGAACTGACACCTAAATTTGATGTGATTCTTCTGGAACCCCCACTAGAAGAATATTACAGAGAGACTGGCATCACTGCTAATGAAAAATGCTGGACTTGGGATGATGTATGATGAAACTTTCTCCGTTGTAATGAATTATTTTTCAAGTTTAATCAAATATATGTATTTGATACGAAAGTATTATTGTTAATAAAAGTCCTACTCTTCCAGGTATCATAAGTATTTACTTATTGGGTCCGAAGTTTCAGTAAATTGAATAAGTATTATAGTATCTTTAGTCTGATTCTACTTTGAGCTGGAACTTGACCATACTGAGTACATACTTCAGAAAAGATTCTTAGTCTCAGTCTTCGAATGCGAGGGTAATACAATACTTGGAAACAGAAAGAACTGACAACTCAGTCTGCATCTTAGTATAAAAATATAAAACACAATTTCTACTCTTCAAGAGGCTTACATTAAAATAATTTTATATAATTTCAGTAAAGTATGATTGTTACTAACTTGTTACATTTTTCTGAAGTTAAGCAAGTTAACGTTCATCATTTATAGAAAGTCACCTGATTTTTTTGATCATTGAAGGTGTACTGAGTGTCAGACTATATTTGAGAGTGTGCTGGACTCTCTGTATTAAACGATGACTAAAGACTCGGTACTTGTCCTTAGGAAGCACACTGGTTTACTGGGAATGACGCATTACCCTGAAGTGATCATTGTAGTATTTATGTTAGAGACTCAGTAGGCTTGACTTCATATGGTCAAAGGGGGTCAGATCACATAAGATGCCCCTGACCTCCCCCCCCACCCCCCGCCCCGCACCCAGCACCACCAGGAGCACAGGAGTGATCCCTGAGTACTGCTTTGCTTTAGATACACTAAAATACCACACTTCATCCTTAGATTGCAATGAGAAAGAATAGTTGTCTTTATTATTATTCAGTAATATATGTCATCACTTTTTTAGCTATTCTCCTTATAAACGTCCATATTGCATTGTGGATATTAGATGAAGAAAGATTCACAAGGGGGAGTCATTCTTGGAGATGTTCTGGTCTTTCCCTGGCTCTGCTATCAGAGCTCACTCCTGGTGATGCTGGGGATCAGACCCAAATAGCTGCATGCAAGGCAGTGCTCTCTCCAGGCCCTAAGGAAGATTTTTATGGGGAATATGTGAAGGGGTATTGGGCACTCAGAGCTTACTTCTAGCTTTGTGTTCAGGGGATACTTCTGGTGGTGCTTGGGAGACCAAACCACACAAGGCTTGCACCTTACCTTCTGTTCTATCTCTCTGGCCCTTAGATTAAGAAAGATGTTAAGAGTTAAAGTCAGAGGTATATACAGAATGGGGTTATATATAGTGTAATTTTTCATTATTACTATAATTTAATGTACAAAGATAAGTTGAAGATGAAAATGTTTTGCTTTGGTTTTTGGGCCACACCTGGAAGTGCTCAAGACTTACTCCTGAGTATATGCTATTTTCAAAGTTTTGAGATTTAGTTATTAAAAAACTTATTTTTTGTTTTTGGTAACATAAGGTGAACGGATTTATCAATTAGGTGTGGGTTTTTTTTTTTGGCACTTCTGACTTAAAATAATCATAACAATAAAATGAGTATGTAGATTTATTTTGAGAGTCTTTTATACATATGAGAACCAGAATGTCTACAAGCATTTGTTGTAAAATTTCATTTTAATTTTATCCAAACTTTGGAATAATTTCTCTTTGCTTTAGTTTTTGTTTCTTTGCCCTCAGACTACGTCTTAAAAAATTCTAATTATATATCAATGATTACTTATTACCTTTTTATATAAAAGCAAGTGTATGCATATGAAAATATGCTCATATGTATATTGTCCTAGTTCAATATAACTTAACAGCTAAACAAGTAGTTTTAATGAGAATGAGCACATTTAAATAACACATCCCAAGAGACAGGACAAATCTCAATAATTACTCTTTGTATTTAGGATGAACGGGAAACAAAATATTTTTTTTTAATCTCTTACAGATCATGAAGCTAGAAATTGATGAGATTGCAGCACCCCGATCTTTCATTTTTCTCTGGTGTGGTTCCGGGGAGGGACTGGACCTTGGAAGAGTGGTAAGGTGGCATTCTTTTCAGAAGTAGATATTTAAAATCAAAGGAAAAAATTGTAAGCCATGATGTATTGCATAAGAAGCTTATTTTCCTTTGGTCCTTTGTTTTTTTTTGTTTTGTCCTTTGTTTCTTGACAAGTAAGAAAACATTCAGAAGAGATGAAATTTTCCCAAGAGACTATAGAAAAGGCAGTACCCCCTTAGTTAGCCAACACAAGGAATGAATAAATAAGGTTTATTAAGTAGCTGCAGGAAGAAATCAGTTTAAAGATTTGAAACAAAATTGCAGCTGCATCCTTTGCTGCTGTTCTGAGTCTTGTAAGACAGGTGTGTGCTCCACCACTGAGTCACATTTCTGGTCTCATTTTTAAGACATACTATTTGTCATACCACAAATGATCTGATTTAATCTTGGTAATTTGATAGGTGAGGAATTTCAAACTTGGCTTACATTGAGAATGATCTGTACTCAGAACCTGAAATTCTGCAAATACTTTATAGTCTTTGTATAAATAAGTTTGTTATTTGATTGCTTCTGTCATTTATTACTTTCAAGGTAAAACTAAACCTAATTGTTCCAATTGGATGTTTATCTTTTTGGTGACACTTCCTTCAAGAGGCTATGGAAAAAGTTAAGAAACTTACTATATGTTTTAATAGGTATATTTATAGTAACCTTTTTTTTTATTTTTTTTTTTATTTTTTTTTTTTAATTTATTTATTGAATCACTGTGGGAAAGGTTACAAAGCTTTCAGGTTTATGTCTCAGTCATGCAAATATCAAACACATTTCCCTTTACCAATACTTATTTTTTCCCATGAAGAACCCCAATAAAACCCCACCCCCCACCCCTCCCCGTCCCTGTGAGGCAGATGAATTCTAGTTAACACTCTATCCGCTTTGATTAGATTGTTTCAATAAAAGATTCGCCACTATTATTTAGAGTTTACCCCCCCCCCCCCAAATCAGACATGCTGAAAAAGCATTGTGAAGTGATTTGCTTTCTACAGCTGGGTTCAAGAATTAAATGTTGGTTTTGGATTTCTGCTATTTTACCTATTGACCCTGGAAGTATTTCTACTGAAAGTCAGATAGTTAAGAAATTGGTTTCTGTGTTCTGGAGTCGTGGCCGTGCTGGAGAGCCGCTCGTGGGGGGCAACTGGTGGCCTTGGTAGGGCGTGAAGGGCGGAGCGAAACGCCCCCCTTCCCATGAGGTTTTAGTCGCCCCCACACTCCCGGCTCATACCTGCTGTCCACAAGGCTCCCGTGTGGCCGCCATCTTTCTTTCCAGAGAGGAGAGGGCGAATGGGGCAACACCCTTTCCCCTCCGGCAGACTTGATGGGCTGGATCAACGCATAGTCCATTCACTTTTCTGCTCCAAGCTGCTGGGTTCTGCATTAAGTCCTTGTGCTTCTGGGGCCATGGCCGTGCTGGAGAGCCGCTCGCGGGGGGCGACTGGTGACCTCGGTAGGGCGTGAAGGACGGACCGGAACGCCCCCCGACCCATGAGGTTTTAGTCGCCCCCACTCCCCCGGCTCATACCTGCTGTCCACAAGGCTCCCATGTGGCCACCATCTTTCTTTCCAGAGAGGAGAGGGCGAATGGGGCAACACCCTTTCCCCTCCGGCAGACTTGATGGCCTGGATCAATGCATAGTCCGTTCACTTTTCTGCTCCAAGCTGCTGGGTTCTGCATTAAGTCCTTGTGCTTCTGGGGCCGTGGCTGTGCTGGAGAGCTGCTCGTGGGGGGCAACTGGTGACCTCGGTAGGGCGTGAAGGACGGACCGGAACGCCCCCCTTCCCATGAAGTTTTAGTCGCCCCCACACCCCCGGCTCATACCCGCTGTCCACAAGGCTCCCATGTGGCCGCCATCTTTCTTTCCAGAGGGAGGAGGGCGGAAGGGAGCAACACCCTTTCCCCTCTGGGCAGAAATGATTGCCTGGATTAACGCATAGTCCTTTCACTTTTCTGCTCCAAGCTGCTGGGTTCTGCATTAAGCCCTTGTCCTTCTGGGGCTGTGGCCGTGCTGGAGAGCCGCTCGTGGGGGGCAACCTTTTTAAGCTCTCATATCTAACTTTGAACTTTTCTCCATCTTTCCAGGCTCAGTTCAGAGTTATTAGGAGTGGTTATCATATTTGATTCTGTACCACTTTATCATATTAGATTTTGTTTATGTACCAGTTTATCATGTTAGTGTTTTTTTTTTTTCTTTTCTTGCCTTTTGGGTCACACCCGGCATTGCACAGAGGTTGCTCCTGGCTCTGCACTCAGGAGTTACTCCTGGCAGTGCTCAGGGGACCATATGGGATGTTGGGAATTGAACCTGGGTTGGCAGCGTGCAAGGCAACCACCCTACCTGCTAGGCTATTTCTCCAGCTCCCTATTATGTTAGATTTTGGCTAAAAATTATTACAAAATAATTCAACATGAGAAACACTTGTGCCTTACGGCAATTATGATAGTCAATATTAAGAGCAAAATGAATGTATTGTAATAGGAGTGGAGGCTGACCTTGGTATATCTTTTTGAAATAAAAACTTCTGTCATTTTGCTCTTTTTAACAATAAGAGCATATGTCTTAGGGACCAAGGCACTAGTACAGACGTTAGGGTGTATGCCTTGAATTTCCCTGCCCCGGGTGTTATCCTCAGCACTCCATAATCCTTTTCAGCGTTGCTGGGGGTAGGCCTGGTTGTCTCACGGGTTGCTGGGGTGGGCCTCTGGGCTCCCATCCTCAGCTGGAAAACCTGATTGGTCAGGAATAGCTGGGGGTAGACCCTTGGCTCCCTGAGCACTGCTTGGAGCACCTTCCGCTCTTACTGGCTTTCCCAGCTGGCCTTTTAACCTGTGTTTTACTTGTGGTTGGATGTAGTACTGCACAGTCTATGTCCCCCAACTGGGGGAGGGACTGTGTCCTATTCATGGGTCTGCTCACATGCCGGCCAGCACCTGTGTATGAGATGCAGCTCGTGTGCTGTTGAGTGGCTAGCTGGTGTTTGTTCTGTATTCACATAGTGACTCGCAGACACTATGGTTTAAATTTCTCTATTTCTCAAATTGTTTAAGGTCAAAAATTAGGTTTTTATGAATAATAGCACTGTTAGTACTGTCGTCCTGTTCATCGATTTGCTTGAGTGGGCACCAGTAATATCTCTATTTTGAGACTTGTTGTTATTGTTTTTGGCATATCGAATACGTCACAGATAGCTTGCCAGGTTTTGCCATGCGGAGCGGGGGGAGGGGGGGGTACTCTCGGTAGCTTGCCAGGCTCTCTGAGAGGGGCAGAGGAATCAGACCCGGGTCGGCCATGTGCAAAGCAGATGCCCTACTCACTGTGCTATTGCTCCAGCCCTTTAAAATTTTAAAACTGAATTTTTTGAGGTTATAGGTATTAAACTTATTAATATTTGATGAGATTTATCTGAAGTTATCAGTTTTGACAGTTTTCTGCTTAGCAGTTTTTTAGCTACATAATGATCTTTTATGTAATTCTTTAATCTTTTATGATTAAACAGGAACCTGTGTGTGTGTGTGTGTGTATTTATATGGACCAAATATATGTGTGTGTGTGTGTGTGCATATATATGTATATTTTGTATATACACATATATTTTGTTATTTGTTTAAGCACCATGGTTTACAATACTGTTAATGGTAGAAATACTTCTATAACTTTTAAAACTCACTTTGTATTGTTCACATGGATGCTGTATTAAAGAATTTGAGTATTACAAGATCCTTTCAGTGTTCTTATAATGAAATGTATCAGTATTCAAAAAGCATATATTTATTCTCTATAGTGGCTGTGGGCTGGAGCAATAGCATAGCAGGTAGGACATTTGCCTTGCACGCGGCCAACCCGGGTTGGATTCCTCTGTCCCCTTCGGAGAGCCTGACAAGCTACTGAGAGTATCCCGCTCGCACGGCAGAGCCTGGCAAGCTACCTGTGATGTATTCGATATGCCAAACACAGTAAGAACAAGTCTCACAATGGAAACCTTATTGGTGCCCGCTCGAGCAAATCGATGAACAAGGGGAGGGAGGACAGTGCTACAGTGCTATAGTGGCTATATATTTTTAGCCTCATGATTCATCTTAAGATTTTGGTACTAAAATAAAAACCTGAAACCACTAGGTCTCAATTCTGTAGGAATTTTTTGGGGACTGGATAGGAGGCCGCCCACAGAATGTTCAGAAGGCCTGGGGACCCCGCAAGGTGGTTCTTGGCCAACTGCACCTGTGATTCCGTGTAAGAGCCCAATGATGCCAGGCTGTTTGGGGCCTGGTTGTGCTCCAGGCCACCCTCGGTGCTCCAGGCCTCCCAGGATGGCACTGAGCAGTACCTGGGTGTCAGTTGCCAGGGTCAGATGAGGGTCAGCCACATGCAAGGCCTGTGCCTTTAACCCTCTCCAGCCCCTCTAGGAAGTTAAGTACTGTTTATTATTATTAAGGACTTTTAAATTCTTTCATTTGTAGTGTTTACGCAAGTGGGGTTACAGGAGATGTGAAGATATCTGTTGGATTAAAACTAACAAAAACAACCCTGGCAAGACTAAGACTTTAGATCCGAAGGCTGTCTTCCAAAGGACAAAGGTATTGCCTGTACTGCTTTGTTTTCTCTGTTTGCTTTCAAGTTTTTCCAAATCACTATTTAATTTGTAATTAATTTTGGTAGAAAGGTTCTTTGCTTTGACATTGAGCTTTACTGTATACATCTAAGTTAACTTTAAATTATTATCATTATTTTATTCACTGTTAGATTAGCATCCACTGTGTCTAAGCTGCTGAAATTCTAAGTAAGATACAGAATTTTGGTATCACCAGCCCCCCCGAAATGATCCCTTTCTCCAAGCATAGAAAAAAAATGCTAGTAGCAAGACTCAAAATTGGTCAGCTGAGAGGCATATTTCTCTTTCCTTTCTCTTTTCCTGCATGGGAACCTGCATTTTAAAACTTGAGAGCCTTGGTTTTCACAACTGCCCTGCCTATATCAGACTGAAATTTTAGGAAGTATTAAAGAGCAGGAGGCGCTAACATTTTAATCTATACTCCCACAGTCCAGGTTAGAGAAAGTGTTTTTTGTTTTGCTTTGTTTTTTTCAAAGGGAGGCATATTCTCACATTTAGTTATATGGAGTATTTTGATGTCTATATCATGCTTAAAAGTTCTCTCTCCAGGGATAAGGTTTATCTCTTGGGTCTGGTTTTGATAGGGATCACATGAGGCCCTATAGAATATCATCTTAAGATTTCAAGTTCACAACTCCGTAACTGATGAAAGCAAATTGTCACTTGTCAAGTATTACAGCAGAAAAGACTCTCTGGTCATTTTCCCCCCCTTCTGAAACTGAATGGTGCCCTAGGTGAATCCTTGGCCAGTGTCCCTGGGAGTCAGCCCACATCTGGAGATTCAGTTTTTCCCAATGTGGGCCCTTGATTCAGAGAAACGAAGAATGTCTTGAAATTGGGGGCATCGGGAATGTAGGATATTATTCATTGGTCTGCTCTTGTGCTCACCCAGGAACACTGCCTTATGGGCATCAAAGGAACAGTTAAGCGCAGCACAGATGGCGACTTCATTCATGCGAATGTGGACATTGACTTGATTATCACGGAAGAACCAGAAATTGGCAACATAGAAAAGCCTGTGGAAATTTTTCACATCATTGAACATTTCTGCCTCGGGAGAAGACGTCTTCATCTGTTTGGAAGAGATAGTACAATTCGACCAGGTAGGAAAACAGAAAAGACAAACAGGCGTTTATGCAGAATCCTCCTCGTGGGCGGGACAGTGCTCAAGATTGAACTCTCAGCCCCCAGCCTGTGACACAGTGCCTCACGGCCCTCCAGCTGGCGTGGCAGCTCTTACCATGGAGCTGTCCCAGGGCTCGGAAATGGCCTTGCTCTGCTTTGCTTTTGGTTTGAGGGACTGGATGTGGTGCTGGGTGCTGAACCCATGTGCAGGACAAGTGCTCTGTTCTCTACTCTCTCTCCAGCCCTGAAATGTCTTTCTTGGTTTTAGACAGATGGCTAAGAAGTGATGAAATGTCGTTCTTGACTTTTTTTCTTTTAAATTCCACTTTATCTGATCTTTCTATTAATGTTACCTGTTTAAGTTTTCTTTGGGTTGGCATTTGCACGGCTTACTTCTATCCTTTCAGTCTTCTGTATCCTTACACTTAAAAGGCCTGGCTGATTTTTCATGTAGCTTATTTTTACCTTTGAATTGATATAGTCCTCCTATTCCTCCTATTTGCGGAAATCGACATCTTACTATATACCCTCCTTTTTGTTTCTTTGGGTTTTTTTATTATTCTATTTTTCTTTTATATTTCTTGTGTTGTTCCTTCCATGGTTATCTTGGAGATGGTAGCATGCATCCTTAAAACATAAATTTAGATTAAAATAACACATTGATTGATAATCTAGGTTTTTTTTTTGTTTGTTTTGGGGCTGTACCTAGCGGTGCTAAGTGGTACTCCTGGCTCTGTGCTTAGAAATCACTTGTGCTGGTACTGGTAGGAACATACACAGTGTCACATTTGAACTGGAATCGGCTGTGTGCAAGGCCACTCTAACCACTGTTCTCTATCTTCAGCCCTACCTTAGCATTTTAAACCCAACTTTTTTCAGTATATCATTTATAAATGGGTACTGTATATGCAGTATCCACACGAGTACAGAATGAGCTTTGAGTTATTTAGATGTTTTTTGCATATATACATGAACATCTTGTTTGGGATTTTTATGCTAAATTAACTTTATATTTGAATATAAATTAACTTTGCTATTTGGGTAGCAGCACTTGTGTCAGACAAGCAAAATATTTCTTCACTGAGTTGTGAAGGTCACATCATTATATATTCAGCATTGTGTCCTCCAGGAAGTGTAGCTGTTCCTACATGCTGAGTGTCAAGATTATGGCTGCAGCATTTGAGGAAATACAGAACAGATTTTTCTCTTTGTAATCGGTTTATCTTACCCAAATAGTTCCTGGGTCTGAGAATAATCCCCAGTGGCAACTGCTCAAGGAGGTTGCCAACTTAAAAGAGATGAAGAGTAAAAGCAAATATCAGATGATAATCCTTTAATAACTGAGCCATCAGTGTAACTATTTTAAAGAAAATGTTGAAGGGGAAACAAGATTCAATCTCATTACCCCCAAGAATGATATCTACATATTTTGTCTTTTGTTTCGTTTTTTTGCGCCATACCCAGCAATGCTCAGGGCTTACTCTTGCTTGCACTCAGGGATCACTCCTGGTGGTGCTCAGGGGCCCATCTGGGATGCCAGGGATCGAACCCTGGTTCTCTGCTACCTGGCAAATGCCTCACCTGCTGTACTGTTGCTCAGGCCCCTCTAGATTTTGTGGTACTTCTGAGCAAATGTTTAAGTGTGTATAATCAGTCATCCTTTTTTTTCCTTAGTTGTCAATTGTATTTCCGTATATTAAATGATAAGCAATTTATAGATTTTTGAAAACTTGAGGGCTGGAGCGATAGCACAGCGGGTAGGGCGTTCGCCTTACACGCGGCCAACATGGCCGACCCGAGTTCGATTCCTCCGCCCCTCTCGGAGAGCCCGGCAAGCTACCGAGAGTATTCGATATGCCAGACACAGTAACAACAAAGTCTCCAATGGAGACGTTACTGGGCCTGCTCGAGCAAATCGACGATCAACGGGAGGGCCTTTACTACTTTACTTTTGAAAACTTGAATACTTGTTGCACAAGTAAATGGAGAAACTACTTAATTATAGTTTTTATGATTTTCAGCATGTTCTTCTCCATTTCTTTAGCTGTGCCTACTTTCCTCACTTTATACATTCCTTCAGACTGACGTTCTATTCTAACTGATCTAGGTCTTTGGGGTGAACATTTATTTTTGGCTTGTAATCTACCATCTAATTCTTTTGTTCCTTCTTGGAAAACTGTAATATTCACTACAGTAACAATCAGAAAGTATAACATTGGTGAAATGGTGTTAGCCATGTTACCAATCTGGAGAGCTCTGCTTCATTATCTGGATGAAACCCTCAAACATACTTTTTCCTCAAAGAGTATTTTCAGGTATATTTCTCATAGTATCATTATGCATGAGCATATTACCTAAGTCATGCAGTTGGAATATTACTAGTCATGTGGTGAAAGGATTAAAACTCACTGTCACATACACCAAAGTTAGGCCGCTTGGCTTTTAGTGATCCCCTGGAGACTGTAATGAACTGCTAAAGGAAGGAAATTCTGCGCAGGAGGGCCAGTTTTTCTCTGCAAGGATCTGCATGTTTTATTGTTGTAAGAAACCAGCAGGAGATGTGTTGACTATTGTTTTTATGAAGCGTATTGTGCACTGCCGTGTAATAGCGCGTGCTGCATTCCATACCACGTATGTGCCCGTCATCCCAGAGGAGGTTGCTGGGGAAACTGAGAAACGCAGTTGCCCATGCAGGTATGGAAGGTGCACCTTGATCTGCAGGTACTTTCCTGGTAAGCCGGGAGCCTGCAGAGGGATACACAAAGGGCGCGGCCAAAGCGTGCAGGGAGTTTCGCATGGAATTTCCCTTTCAGCTTTTCCCAGGCCCTGTTGCAGCTCTGCAGTGTTAATGTCATTTTAATGATGCTCAAGTAGAAAGAGCATGTAAAACTCAGTCTCAGCATACAAAAATGCTTGCTCCCTTTTCTCCTTTGGGGGGGCTGCAAATGACCGTCTCTCCCCTCACCCCGCTTCCAGGCTGGCTCACCGTGGGACCGACGCTCACGAACAGCAACTACAACGCGGAGACGTATGCGTCATACTTCAGCGCGCCCAACTCCTACCTGACGGGCTGCACGGAGGAGATCGAGCGGCTCCGACCCAAGTCGCCCCCGCCCAAGTCCAAGTCGGACCGGGGCGGAGGCGCGCCCAGGGGTGGCGGGCGTGGGGGCACGTCAGCGGGCCGTGGGCGCGAGCGTAACCGCTCCAACTTCCGTGGGGAGCGGGGTGGCTTCCGGGGGGGCCGCGGGGGTGCACACCGGGGGGGCTTCCCGCCACGGTAGGGCCCGCGTCTCGCATGCACTTTGCTTCCATTGCTCCAAGAGGCTCGGCTCGCCCGTTGGACGGGTCCTGCCGCCTTTGTCCCCCGCGGGTAACCCAGTGCCAGCGGGTCACTCGTGGGGGTCTTTTGGGTCTCAGACACGCCGGTGCTGCCAGTCCCCGTGGGAAACTGGCTCGGGTCCCGCAAGCCTGGAGTCAGGGCAGAAGGGACGTTTCTGCCCGGTGCTCTAAAACTCAAACTCCTTTTTTTTTCCCCGCTCTCTTTTGAACATTTGACCTTAAGCTGATACTTGGGTGCAGAATAAACGGCCCAGCCCGGAGGTGGTGCTCCCAGGGCCCGTGGGGGATGCTTGCATGTAACCAGGGGGGTAGACTTTAAATAGGGGGGTGGGGAGAGAGGTGGAGGAAGCCAGTCTCCATCTCAGTCACCGCTTAATCGTGCTTCCTGAGAGGCAGACGTTGACAAATATCCAAGTGCAAGAACTTCGGTGAGGGCCTCAACTTGGATTGACCATCAAAGAAGTTTTCTTTTCCTTTGCGAAATAAAAAGCAGGCAGCCACCGAGACATTCAGTCCTCAGGGGTGTGGCAGCAACATTTGGGGGATGACAGTCCTTGGAGATGAGGAGATGGCATGCAGCTTTAAACACGTGAGAGAAAAAACAGTAGGAACGCAGGTTTAAGAAACTCCCCCAATGACATTTGGAAATGGGATCTGCGGCCGCCTTTTATCGAGACCATACGGGGTGGCATTTGTAAGGATTTTGCAGATCAGTGTCTGAGTCTGCTGTTAACTTCTCTTTCCTTATTGTAACTCATGTCTGAAATGAATTTGATGGATGAAATACTATTACTGTTCTTGATAAATAACATATTTTTAATTTGCGTATGATTTTTGTACTGAAACGTTAAAGCTTTGAAAGTGAAAGCCTGTTTTCCACCTGGGGAATTGCCATTGTAATCAACTGAAAAAAGACTGATTTAAGATCAGACTCACTTTTTTGGCCTGTGAGACAATTTAGTGGTTGATTGTGCTTCTCACAGGCTCACATTAACACCTCCAAGAAGCTCTTGTACCCACTAGGACTTCGTTTGAAGAACTGACTTGCAGAAATAGAATTGAGACCCTTAAAATCCGATGACTTGCTCAAGCGCCGTAAGACTCGGGTTAATCTTTGCCATTTGTAGCATGTTCATGCTTTTCTCACGTAACATTGCTGCCATTTGTGTCCATTACCACTTGAGCCATTGGAAACATCTGGTTGGCCATTTAGGCTGTGGCTAATTACCATACGCTATGCATGCCAAACCTTGGGGAAGAGGGGGTTCAAACCAGGTAGGGTCTGGCTTTCTGGCTTGGTAGCTGGATCACATCCCTGTGTATCCTGGGAAGCACCGCTGATTCTGAGTTGAGTAGAAGAGCTCCCTGTTTTGAGTCTTTAGCTCATAAAGGTGGACACTTAGACTCCCTTCTCCTGCATATTCTAAAGCCAAGCAGTGCCAGTCCTTCGCTTCCTCTTCAGCTCATGGGGTGCCAGTGGCATTCCTGGCATTCACTGTGCTCCCCATGACAGCTCTTACTTGGAATTTCTTTGCATGTTTTTTAAAATCCTTCTCTTCTAGTTGCTAAGTCACAACATCCTGATGAATCACAGGACCTTATTTTTTATCTAAACTTTTGTTTTGGGGCCAGAGCTGGCTGTGCTCAAGGCTTACTCCTGGTAGGGCTTAGAGGACCATATGGGGTGCTGGGGATCAAACCCGGGTCAGACACGTGCAAGGCAAATCTCTCCACCGCCACAGCAGTTTATTTTTAAGCCAGTAGTGTTTTCTTCCTGGATTTAGGCACATAAGTGGTCTTAGAAGTACAGATCCAGATTTTTTTGCTCTTTTGTTAAATCTGTATTTAAAAAAGTGATGGCTCAGTTGAGACCCATTTAAAATGGTAGTTTTGATCTAAGTATTTCATTTTTTTAGTGAGCTATTAAAAACATAAACCTTTACTTACAAGAAAGTCCTCTCAGAGCAAAAGCATCTTTGTGTCCATGTGAGACTTTCAGCATCATCGTCTCTTTATGCTAAAAGTCTTGACTTTAGGAACTTAACTGTAGCCTGGGTCTCAAGCAAATACAATTGGTTTTGAAACTAAAATCTTGGATATCCTAGGGCTTCAAGTGTTTGTCCAACTGAACCCACTAAAGACTCCGTTTCTGGTGAAGACACATTGTTCCTGGTTTTAAGACCTCAATTATTTGTTCATAAACTTTGCTAGTTGCCACAGAGAAATCTACCTCACTTAATCTAGAATATTCTATTGGTATTGGAGAAATGTTCATTTTGAGTATGTGTTCCTCCCTCTGTCACTGGAGATGTTGATAGTTAAATCCAGTCAGATGGGTTTTTACAAGAATACTTCCAAATAATTGGGGATATAGAGGTCAACAATGTGAAACACAGGCACTAAGCATATAATGCTAATCTGCAAAACATCTATGCAATTTGTTTTGTAGTAAATGACTTATCTTTTTTCATTGAATTTTATGTAAAAATTAAACAAGAATATTTGTTTTCATTTCCTTTCTCCCATTTATATCTGTACCTTGTCAATTTTGATGTCTTTTGCACTCCTGAAAAAAATATTCAACCTTATGTGAATTATGTGGGTGTTCTAGAACCAGATGAACATGGCATTGTTGCTTAAACTGTATATTCTACCTCTGTAACTTTTAACAGCACTTCTTTTGCTCTGTGGCCCATAGCAAATGGAGAAACTGCATCTATGGTAAGAACAGACAGTTTGCTTTTCTCTTAACACCTTCGACCAATTTAACCCTCTTTGGCAATATCATTGTTTGCATAGACCCGGTAAAAAGGGATATCTTGGTGAGAGAAGACAGAACCAGGAACATTTGTCATATTGGCTTGACTTAAGCTTCGGTGGCTCTAAGACGCCTTAAATCCTAACAAAGAAATCGGATGGTTGGAGGACATTGGATGGACTCCAGGGTGGGCTTTCTTTACCCTCAGTAAGACATGCGAGAGCCCAAGAGCACAAAAAAGCATGTTAGTACGAGGGTAAAGTCTTAAAGACATGGCCACTAATCAGAAAATGGCAGAAGTGGAGCCGTTGTCACCCTCAAGACTGAGAAGAAGGACCCTATGGAGTTAGGCAAACCCAAACAGACTGGCTTGAGGCCTGCAAGTGGAAAATGTGATCAAATGCTTCCTGAGAAAAGCCACCTTGCTCTAACTAAATTTAAAGTTGAAAGTTACTATCCCAGCTCTTACTGTGCCTATGCAAAATAACAGTCACTTTTATTAAAGACAAATAATCTGTTATGTTAATTGTAAAGGCGGAGAGAAAACCATGCTTCATTTCAGGGTTTTGGTGAAAAAAAAAAATATTCTTGGTCCACGGAGGGATAATAAAACTTCCAGAGAATTCAGAGAAAATCAGCCACTCCCTGTGAAGCAGGCCAGGGGGTTGGCTCTTGGAACCTAGGCTCTGTTCAAAGTTATTTTAACCGGGGTCTTACTAATCTGTAATTGCTTTCCCAGAAAGGTCCCCTTCAAAAAGGGCAATAACCTCTTGTAACCTCTAGCTCTTCACCTGGTATTTCTGAAAAGCTATTCATGCCCTTGTCCTACCCTGTAAGTAACATGACAAGGGGAACAGGCAGGGCAAGCTCAGAAAATGAACCTTAAGAAAGGGAATCATCAGTATGAAATGTCACAAGGGTGGCCTAGGTGATGCTTTATAATCTGATGACCTAGGCCCACCTGGAAAGTCTATATGAGGACACCAGAAGATAATCTCCCCTATTTTAGTGGCTGTTAGGCCCTAAAAGGACCCTCTATCTGAGGATAGTTAGCCTTTGACCTCCAACTATTACACTCATCTCCTAGACACTAGGTCATTTCCTCTATTCTATGTGTACTATGCTTGGAAGGAAACAATGTGTCTTTGTGAATCAGTCTAGATCTATTTTCAACCTATAAAGAAAACCTTCCAGTACTGGGGGCAGGCTTAAAAGTTGCTTTCATGGAAAATACTTGGGTTTGGCTCACTTGGGTCCTGCCCTTCTTGGTCTCTTGGCAGAACTCTGCTTGTCATAGCTGATAGGACTTGGCCTTACAAGCTTCATGTCAGGTTTATTTTTTCTAGGCTTGAGTCCATCACGCCACAGATGGTGATTCCTGTGGAACCATGGGTGCAGGCAACAGGCATGGCATTGCAGGCCTCTAGGCCTCCCTTTTCCTAAGACTTCCCAACTGCACAGGGCCCCTATGTGAGAGACACCCTAAAGCCAGCATAAAGAAGCCAGATAGACCCAACACCCTAATTCCTGACTACAGTCAGGGTTTCATCTCTGAGAGGGGGAATGAAAAAGGGAACCTGTTTACCCTTGCCAACTGATGTGAGCAGTCCCGCTTTTGGCTGATCCATCCTACATTTTTAACTTCCTGCGAATTCCTGGGCTTTTCTGATAAACAATTGTTCATCATAAAGTCCTGCCCCAGAGCTTAGGCTCACAGGGAGACTTAAGATACCGGACAGTACCCAGCCCGACCACCCTGTAGATTCCTGCATTCTCTGTAATACTTGTCGATTGATAAGAAATGCAAAGGGCTTTTAAAAGGCCGACAATAAAACTTTTCCTTTTAACTTAGTCCTATATAAGTTTCTCCCCACATGTGGAGTTCCTTTCCCCTTTCTCTTTTACTTTCCAATAAACTTTTCTACTTTCCAAATCTGAGTCTGAGTATCTTGATTACTCAATATTTCATTCTTGAAAATAGTAACCTGGGAATCACCATCTCTGTATCATCTGCATCAAAAGCATGATTTAAGACTATAAAAATAATTTCCAAGAAAAATTTAATGTATGTATCAGTATATATATCTTCTCTACTCACTGAATATTCTAGGGGACATCATTACTATTGCAAAACTTGTGATCCAAACCTGCTAAATAATGTACAAAGTCTCATACTTGTGAAAAATAAAAATAATTTATGGGGCTGGAGCAATAGCACAGAGGGTAGGGCATTTGCCTTGCATGCGACCGACCCGGGTTCTATTCCAAGAATCCCATATGATCCCCCGAGCACTGCCAGGAGTAATTCCTGAGTGCATGAGCCAGGAGTAGCCCCTGTGCATCGCCGGGTGTCACACACACACAAAAAAATACAAATAATTTATAAAGTCAAACACATTTAAAAAATCCATTAATAACATGTTAATATAATAAAACAACATTAAAAATTGAGGCCAGAGTGACAGTACAGCAAACAGGGCATTTGCCTTGCATGCAGCTGACCAAGGTTCAACCCTGGCACCATAAAGGTCTACCAGGAGTTATCCCTGAGCATCACTGAGTATGACACCCACCACCTCATGAAATAAAAACCCAAGTAAAAACATTTAATTTTTTATAATTTTTGCATTCAAATGAACCACATAGTACATAGCTAAAAATGTCTTGATTGAAAAATATCACCCACTCTGGGTTTTCATGCTTATTTTCCTCTCTGCTGGCATATTCACCAAAACCACATTACCTGGCATATCATAACGTTTAAGAAATTGTGCTCTCTGAGAAAAGATGATTGGTTAAAGAAACTGGTACATTTACACAATGGAGTACTATGTAGCTGTTAGAAAAGATGAAGTCATGAAATTCACATACAAGTGGTACTACATGGAAAGTATCATGCTAAGCGAAATGAGTCAGAAAGAGAGGGATAGACATAGAAAGATTGCATTCATCTGGGGAACATAAAGTAACAAAATAGGAGACTAATACCCAAGAGTGGCCGAGATGAATTTTGCTCCATGGCTTGGAGGCCAGCCACACATGCTAGGGGAAAAGGCAGCTCAGATACAGAAGGGAGCACCAAATAAAGGGTGTTGGGAGGATCCTCCCAGGAGAGGAGATGCATGTTGAAAGTAGACTATAGACCAAACATGATTGCCACTCAATGCCTCTCTTGCAAACCACAACACCCAAAAGGACAGAGAGAACAAAAGGGAATCCCCTGCCACAGAGGCAGTGTGGGATGGAGGGCATGGGGGGGGGGGGGAGGGATACTGGGACCCATGGTGGTGGAAAATGGGCACTGGTGGAGGGATGGGTTCTTGATCACTGTATAACTGAAACCCAAGCACAAAAATTTGTAAGTCTACAACTGTACCTCATGGTGTTTCACTAATAAAAATTAAATAAAAAAATAAAAACATTAGTGGAAAAAAAAAAAGAAAATGTGCTCTAATTGTAGTGCATGTCCGGGATTGTATTTGCCCACTGTTGCCAAGCCTGAGAACACTGCTTCCGAAAATGGCACTCAAGTCGCAGGCTCCCAAACTTCCCTGCCGTACTGTCCCTCTCCCCCACCCACCTTGCAGAAATCACTCAGCACCCTGCCCTTGGGGAATGACCTTAATCTACCTTGCCCCCACAATGGCACCCAAGGGTTCTCCCACCCTGCTGGATCCTGCCATTGCCCTGCAGGGTCTGTAACAGCCACTTGGGGAAACTGACCTCAGTGCCTTGCAGGGTCTTTCTACTGAGCATCATCTTGCTGGTTTCATTTATGGGTGCTGGTTTTGCACCATCTTTACGTGAAGGAAGGAATGTGCTCTGGGGTATCTAACAGAACTCTGATGTCTGGAACGTAACACACCTCTGGCGGTGCCCATGGCCACACCTTTCCTCATGGCCTTCATTCTACAGGAGCCTGAGTTCATGCTTCCTTTTGCCCTACTTCAGATGCATAGAGACCAACTCCTTTATCTTTTATGAAAGGAGCATATATATAATATATATAGACACAAATGTATATATGCATATATGTACACAAAAATGTATATGCATATACATTTTTAAGTACCTGTTGTCCCCAAGAAGCACCTGCATTTTTTTTTCCAACAGAAGTTCAGGATCATGTACATTATCTTGCTAAATTTAGCTAAGTTTATCTGAAATATCTTAACAGCGAGCTGAAGTCATATCTTAATCCTGTCAGTACATTTGTTTTATTCAATTTCATAGCTTTAACTAATTTATAAATAAACCTTACAGGCCATATAAAGGTACTTAATCACTTCAAACCTATGTCTTTATCCGTAAATATGACTGATGAGAAGATGAGGGATGCAGTGAGGAATAAATGCAAAAAAATTAGTGATGCAGTTCTTGGGCTCTTATTGGTATTCAGTTTCTTTTAGCTCTTAGTATTTATTTGTTTATAGACTGGACCACTGAACTGAGGGCAGGTACAGGACATAGGTCAGATTCCTCAAAACCACTCTCCAAGGGTTTATATATTTATTATAAGTGATTTCAGGTAGTCTGTTTCTATTATGTTCACAAAGACATGTTTTCTCAATTTGTCCCTAATGATCCCCAAGACTCCAGACATTATCCTTATTTTTCTTTTATCTCAGAATTAAAAAACAAAAATTCTGAGTAAGAGCATATGAAGTGATTTATTGTACTGGTTAAGATCCATTATATACAGGTAGAAACCTTCAAAATTGTACAGAGAACCATTAAGAATATTGATAGACAGTTTTATAGACAAAACAATTGGAAAATAGGCTTAACATACACAACATATAATTATGAAAAAAAGTAGAACAAAAATTGTTCTACCATATAGATTTCAAGGTTATTAAAAGTTTGCTATGCAAACCTTAAGTTGAAAAATGTTCAGTGGGGTTAGATGGCTTTTTAAAAAAATTAGATATAATGTAAAAATTAAGTTTTTTCCCCCACTGCAAGACTTTTTTTTACCCCAAATCTATACATTTTGAAAAATAATTTATAAGTCTAGCACATTACAAAGAAAGAAAATTGAGAAGGTTTAGAGTTCTGTAAACTATGCCTTTCGTGAAATGCCATCTGCATCCATTGGACCGTTAAAAATTGTGCAATCAGAAGTAGCCTGTTCCCTTTCCAGTACAACAGTACCGACAACGGCTTCACACCTGAGCACCAAAGCTGAAGTTCTCGACGCCTTCTTGGAAAGCTATTCTGAAAAATGAGCAAGAAATCAACACTAGCCTGTTATCATCTGGAGAATTAGGCACCAAGAAGGAGATGGTCTCCTTAGAAATGCAACCTCGATGACTAGTTTAGCAGCTGGCATATTTCCTTGTGCACACAGCAGAGGAAATCCACGTACGACGATCCTCCGTAAAGGCCTTTGTCTTCCACCAGGAACTGACGGAAAATGATCTCTGGCTGTTCTCGCTGCTTCACTATCGTGAGCTTTGGGGAAAGACAAGGAAGGTGGTTACGAATGTGGGAATGTGGCATGATGCTGCCCACTTTATTTCACTGAAGTCAGAGAACGGTCGCTGAGAGGGGCAGCAGGGAAGATAATGGGAAGGAGCCTCTCCCACAGTGTGAGACCCGGTCCCCCTCCATACGAAATATGCAGTTAGAAGTGACCTCGGGCCAGCTGGGTATCCTAGAGGAAAGGGCAGTTCAGATAGAGAAGGGAGCACCAAATAAAGGATGTTTGGAGGATCCTCCCAGGAGGGGAGATGCATGTCGAAAGTAGACTATGGACTGAACATGTTTGCCACTCAATGCCTCTTTTGCAGACCACAACACCCAAAAGGAGAGAGAGAACACAGGGGATTGCCCTGCCACAGAGACAGGGGGGATGGGGGGATGGGGGTGGGGGGATATTATCCATGGTGGTGGAAAATGGGCACTGGTGGAGGGATGGGTATCTGATCATTGTATAATTGAAACCAAAGCACAAAAAATTGTAAATTTACAACTGTAAAAAAAAATAAAATAAAATAAAGGGAAAAAAAAAAAGAAGTGACCTCGGTGAGGCAGAAGCAAAGGGCTGCAGGAAAGACTTCACAAGGGGAGAACCAAATTTGGAGTCCTGGAAGTGAAGGGGCGTTGGACAAAGACACACGTGACGGGCGTGGACAGTACCACAGTCTTCTGCAATCATTGGGGGTTAGAGACCACTAACTGTCGTTATGAGTCTGAGTTTCCAGGAAAATGGGGTGCAGTGAGACACCAAAGGAGGTTCTGTGGAGCATGTGGAATGCTTTTGCAAGAAGAGGGGGGTCACGGGAGGCAGGTGCAGGGGGAAGAAAGGGAGGACGGAGTGAGGGAGAGAGGAACAAAAGGTACTCTGGGTGTGGTCTCAGGCATGAGCTCTTGTTCCCGGCTCATTGGGAATCTCTAGGGCTGTGCTGCCCTCCCAGACCGTCATGCCCTAAGAGATCATCACCCCTCAGGCCCTGGAAATGGCAACTTTGAGTAAGACCACGTTTGACTAAAGCAGGTTCTTGCAGTAACCTGTTCCATTCAATGCAGGCTGAGATTTTTTTGGTTTTGCCTTGGTTTTGTTTCAGGGCTCCTCCTGGTGATGCTCAGAGGTTACTCCTGGCTCTGCATTCAGGAATCACCTGGGTCCGCTGCAGATAGAGCATGCACCCTACCTGCTGTACTGTCTCCCCAGCCCTCAGATCTTCCCCACCTCACTGATCAATGTTATAATGAAACAGAGCACCTAGATTCAACCCTCGACTGCCCAAGGTGGCATTGGTCACGTGTGGCTACTGAACAGACGCTGAAACCTGGGGTGTCAGAATCGGACAGTGCAACCAAGGGAAAATACAAACTGGATTTCTGAAATTCTGCAACTGTGTTCACTGATTACATGTGGTAATAGCCATTTTTCTGAATATATCTTTAAAATTAAATTGTTTCACTTAAAAAAATAGCTTTGAAATGCTGGGAAGGGGGTGGGCATGCTGTTCCCCAGGAATCCACTGAAGACATAGGTCCAAACCTAAATTTGTTTTATGTGGCTACTGAAACATGTAGCCATGTGCATGGCAGAGCCTGGCAAGCTACCTGTGGCATACTCGATATGCCCAAAACAGTAACAAATGATGGTCCTCATTCCCCTGACCCTGAAAGAGCCCCCAATACACCATTGGGCTACACTAGCATGCGACAGGGATGAATGGAGACATTACTGGTGCCCACTCAAGCAAATTGATGAACGGGATGATAGTGATGATGATGATGAATGAAACATGTAGAGTTAGGGCATGTGGATTGCTTTGGCGGCCTGTACCTTTCTAACCAGACCCAAACCTCGGAACAAAGCCCACAAGTGGCTGGGAGTTTGTCTTCAATACTGCACCCAAGACCCAAGAAAACAATCCATAAAAGTGATCTGAAGACTTATTAAATATGTTCTAATGTTCTTTTCAAGTGTCAGATAAAAAAGTATAAACACAAGTGCCTTGAAGTCAGTGGCCAGATCTAGGTCTGGGTGGGCCACTGCCCAGATGTAAGACCCTGACCAGGTGGGTGAATCACCTCAGTTCACTTTTCTATCTTTAACCGGGAAACAAGAGGAGCTGGGCAGGGAGAAGTTGGGGTGCAGCAGGGAGGTGATTCCAGGTATGGCCTAGATTCCTTTAGGCTCTGGGGTCCGTAGGTTTTCAACTGACAGATAAACTTGCAAGTGAGTGGTACAAAAGAAAATCAGATTATTATTATTTGGGAAGAGGGGTCTGGGCCACACCTGGCTATGCTCAGGGATTACTCCTGGCTCTGTGCTCAGGGATCACTGGCAGGTTCGGGGGACCATGGGATGTTGGGGATCAAATTTGGGTCAGCCACATGCAAGGCAATTACCCTACTTGCTGTACTATCTCTCCTTTACCTTTATCTCTCCAACTCTCCAGAATCAGACTAAGTATTCCAGCAGAAATGTCATTTATCATGCAACTCCTTACTTTCCCCCCCACGTACTATACCTGAGCTCAATGAATACAGATGGTTGTCTAAATCAGAACTCACATGCTGAAAAAGGTGGTTTTTTTTTTTTTAAGCAGGTGGGAAAAAGGAGAAGATAGAAACACTTTCTTTGTTCCAGGAAGAAAACATCTTGGTTTTTTGAGTATAAGGATGATTCTGAATATCAACAGTTTTTGATGTGTGTTTGTGTGACGTTTGTGTAATTTCAGGATCTCTCTGAGTGCCCTGGGAAGAATGTGTGAATTGGCCCTTCTAGGTCTTACCCCAAATCTGAACCCAAGCAGGTACTGTGTGGTATGGAAAGGCTCTGTGTTCAGCCAGGTGTTTCATCAGTGATTCTGGAGGTATAAATCCTCTTGTAAAAACCCTCACCGATAGTTAAGATCATTAACTTAGACTGACATCATATTTATATTTTGGGAGAAAACTGATCCCATCCTATCCTCGTAGAGAGCTGCTTCTGGGGAGAATCATAGCGCCATGCAAGAAGTAGCACCACCAACAGACCATCATCACCTGCACATTCAAATCCCAGGAGATTAGCACTGAGTTTCAGAAGGAAGGCAGAGATTGGTAGGGACGAGAAACATCCAGAATTTCCCTCTATTACAGGCATTTTTCATGTTCTTGACCCTGAATGAAAAAGACTAGTAGGACTTAGAAAGTCTATGGCAACAGAACTTCCTAGAGAGGATGAGTCAAATACAGACAGAGAAACTGAAATCTGTTCTGCATGATATTTGTAACATTTAAGTCATAGTAACTACTAAGGGAAAAGTGATTGCAAAGGCTGCTTATGATATCAACTGCTACAAAATCCTGAAGAGAATATTCATGATTACCAAATACTAAGATGACCTTGGGTTAACCTGTGCCTAAGTTGAGCTGCGGATTTTTGCATGCGTCAGACTGGAAGAGGAGACAGGTGTGCTTAGAGGGGCAAGTTTCCTTTCAAATACCAGTCCTCAAAATAGAAGACATGCATTCTGAAAGTCTTTAAGGATTAAAAATAAAATACATGTAAAGAGAGGAAACAAATAAAATCCCATTCTTACCTTCATGGAATATGGCTTCTTCTGCTGGATAATACCCATTATAATTCTGAGAGATTGAGAGTAAGGGTTTCCCACTTCAGGCAGCATTGTCTAATTTTAAGAAAAAGCTCGTTTCAATATAATTCACAACACTAAAAAATGGCAATAAAATTGTCCTCCCTAAATCATGTACTGAAATGTCACTTGGTCCTGGGTATTGTTGGGGTGGCCCAGGTCATCCTCAGCACCACATACCACATCCTTGGGCTGCACATTAAACCATCTGGCTTGGTTGCTAAGAATCACTGGGAGTGGCCTCTGGGCTCCTGAGTACTGATTGTGAGTCCACCCACTGCTCTCCTCTCTCTCTCTCTCTCTCTCTCTCTCTCTCTCTCTCTCTCTCTCTCTCTCTCTCCTCCCTCCCTCTATAGTGAGAGCGAGAGAGATATGTATACACACATGTTTATATATGGAGAGAGAGACAGAGAGAGATTGTAATGGACCCATTAAAAAAGTATCCATTCTTAATGGTATGCACATCCATCAAAGAAGGAAGCGATCATATATTTCTGTCAGATATCCAGCTCTCTAACCTGGCCAGGGAGATACTCGGCAGGCTGGAGTATGTGCATGCAAGAGATGCACATTAAATACTCAGTATGTGGGGTCCCATGAGCATTGTAGGGAGCTACATGAGAGCACTGAGCCAAGAGTAGCTTCTGAGCACCATCAGGCGTAGCCCCCAAAGTCAAATACAAACAGACAAGCAAACTGACGCCTACTTCTGTAGGAGCAGGATTTTAATCCTGTCCTGACTTTTCTCCAAATTGTATTTTCATGCAAAAAATTTGGGGATTGAAGAGTCTTTAGACTGTCAGTGAGCCCAGGGCATGCACTGTTGGCTGAGCTCTCCGGGCGAATTGCATGAATCCTGTCAGACCAGGTAGGAGGACAAGCTCACAGCAATGGCACCCAGGCAGCAACAATCCATGAATAAGGCTGGCAATTAACAGTGACCTCAGCCAAATCATCATGGTTGTCATTCCCCTAACACGCTTAAAAAAATAAAGCCACTGCCTTCATTTCACATCCAAACTCAATCTCCTGTCATAACTGCAAGAGAGAAGCATATCTGGGGAGGACTCCTCCATCGGACTGGTTGGGAGGTACCTGCAGTGAGCCTGGGGTCCAGCACACTTAGGACAGTCCCAAGCATAACTGAATCCCCTACCTGCCATGGATACCCAATGGATTTATCTGTAAAATAGACATTTTAATACCTGCTGTTATCAAAACACTTAAGTAATAATATCCATTCGCTGAGTGACTGAAAGAATGAGCTGAAATGGTGCACAGAAAGTATTTAGACACAGGGAGTGGCATAGCAAGGGTCTGGAAGTGTGAGCAGCCTCTATTAAAGCTGCACATTTTGGTTGTTCGATGGTGCTTCGTATTAATAGCTTCTTTTTTTTTTTTTGGTTGAGAAGGTTTTTTTTTTGTTTTTTTTTTCTTTTTGGGTCACACTCAGCAATGCACAGGGGTTACTCCTGGTTCATGCACTTAGGAATTACTCCTGGTCATGCTCGGGGGACCATATGGGATGCTGGGAATCAAACCCTGGTTGGGCTGCATGTAAGACAAACGCCCTACACGTTGTGCTATCACTCCAGCCCCCATATTAATAGCTTCTTATTCATCAAAACATAAAGTTTCTATTCTTACTTTTACTGAACTACTGGCTGAATTGTTTTTCCTTCTCTGTGACAAATGTGAAATATAATATTCCTTTGTGCATGAACAGAAAACACTCAAAAGTTGATATTTTCATATTGACACAAAGCAAGGAAGAAATACGTACCATGTTTGTGTTTATATGTGCAAAAGATGGCACATTAAATACTCCTTGGATCAGTTCTGGTGGGCAACTTACTCCCACCCATAAGAACATGCTTTGGCCAGTAGCCAGTAGGAACATTCCTTCTTCCGAAAGACGAGATTCAGAGCAACGAACCGCAGCAGGCAACGCCGTACTCTTGACATCTACCGTGTGCTGGGCAGGTGAGAGGCAAGAGACTTAGAAACTGCTTTGCTTTCTCCCTTCCCTATTTTCCCTTCCCTCCTCTCTCCTCCCAAAGTGGAGTTACTGAGTGCCAGCTATCTATCAGACATCATTCTCCTCATCAGACAATAACCCCTGCCTTGGGCAGCAGACTGGCTTTCCAGAGGGAAGAGATAATCTAATAAGGAAATGATTAAAACTTTTGATGTGTCCAGTGTTTTGAAGAAAAGTAGGAGCGTGTCACTGGTGTGGGTGGGGCCGTTTGAAACAGGATCTTCCAGGAAAGGTGACTGAGAAGGTCGTTTTTGAGGACAGACCCGAGCAGAGGAGAGAAGCTAGGGGGAATAGTTGGGCAAGAGCATTTGGGAAGAAGGAGCAATGCGGGAGGGTCCTAAAGCAGGAGTCCATTGGATGTCTGAGGGTCAGCAGGAGGCCGCTGTGAGTGCCCTGGAGGGTGCAGACAGGAAGCAGTACAGGTGAGTGGGAGAGGCCACAGAGAGGAAGCAGTAACAAACAGAAGGTGAGTGGGAGAGAAGGAGAGGGGGCACATACAGGAATAACAGAGGTGAGGGGGAGAAGAGAGGAAGGGATGCAGGCAGCACAGGCCCGAATTTCACTGAGATGGGAAACCCTGGTGGGTTCTGCCCAGGAGGGTTGCGAGCTGCCAAACATTCTATCCCGACCACTAATTTTAGGCTGCGAGCACAGGGAGACCCAGAGGGGAGCGAGGAGACCCTGAGACTGGCAGAGCTGTCCACGAGTGAGATGGTGATGCCTGAACCCGGGCACCTGCAGAAGGTAGAAGAATCCATCTGGCCAAAAAAGCATTGACACGTGTATTGATAGACAAACGGAGTGATGAGAGAGAGGAAAAGTGTCTCAGAGTGACCGTGAGGCTCCCCGCAGGCGAGAGGGAGAGACGGAGACAGAGATGGAGAGACTGCAAGGCGGACTGGACAGGGGGGATGCCCAAGACTGGCATCCCCCCCGAGCTGCTCAGAGGCTAGGAGGACACACACACACATCTGGAGATGAGGCCAGAGGGGCAGCTTCCAGGGACATGGACTGGTGAGCAATCAATCACCAATGGTGATGCAAGTTTGCAGAGTAGGTAAGAGTCCCAAGGGAAGCGAGGGCAGACAGAGAAGAGAAGCTTTACAGGAACTCGGTCAGGGAGAAGAGGGTAAAATGGTAAAGGCAGCGGGGACAGAGAGAAGTAGCAGCGGAAACAGGAAAAGTCACTTGAAGGTGCTCCTAGAGGGAGAAACCAACTGTATCACATGCTGTGATGGGCGTGAGGGGAGCAGGAGTGGGTTTAGCACCTCTGGTCCCTGTTCTGGGGGGAGGAAATTTTCATGGAGTGTTGCTGTTCTTGCTCTCAACAGTCCCAGTTTCTCTGGCACACAAATTGTTGACAATCTAACTCTTATGTTCTTACTAATTAGAAGAATCAACAGCTTTCCATTTCTTACTCACTTTCTACTGAGTACCATGACTGCTATTATTCTGAGGACAGAAAGAAGTCATCAGCCCTCATCTCTTATCTGCCTTATCTCTCAACTATAATTTAGGCATCAGGGAAAATAGCCTTGTCACTGAGCTCAGGAATGTTCGCGACATTAAGAATTTGTGGGATATACAAAAAACACAGTATGAAACATTTTAAATGAGACTAACACCCAAGGACAGCAGAAACAGGAGCCAGGATGAATGGTCCGTGATTGGAAGCCTGCCTCAAGGGCCGGGGGAGAGGGCAGTTGGGACAGAGAAGGGACCATTATGACAATGGTAGCTGGAAGGGATTGCTCTGGATGTGTGCTAAAAGGGGGTAAAGGACCCAACATGATGGCATCTCTGTATCTGTATTGTAAACCATAATGCCCAAAAGGAGGGAGGGAGGAAGGAAGGAAGGAGGAGAGAGAGGGAGAGGGGCAGAAGGGGGAGAGAGGGAGGAGTGTCTGCCATAGATGCAGGCTGGGTGGGGGGGGGTAGGAGGGATATGGGGGATATTGGTGGTAAGTGTACATTGGTGGAGGGATGCATGCTGGAACATTGTATGACTGAAACCCAATGCAAAAGTTTTGTAACCGTATCTCACGGTGATTCAATTAAAAAAAATTAAAGAATAAAGAAAGAATTTGGAGCTACAAAAATCTGAAAAAGCTAAAAAAGAAAAAGAAAGAAAGAAAAAGAACTGGCTTCAAATAAGTTAAAATACACTGCTGAATAACTTTAAAGATTAAGGACAACTGGTCTATTAAATCTTGCAGGTATTTGCAAGTAACTAAAATAACTACATGCTGACTTGTAAATCCAAGACTGCATTTTGGTCAAAGCTCAAAGCTACTTTGCTTCAAGATGAGGACTTTCAGACATACATCACCTAAAAAAATTCATGCATGTATGAACAGGAGACCCCCAACACTCATGGTCTCTCATGCTACATAGTATTAACTGCTGCAACAATTGAAACTTGATGTTCTTTGACTAATGTAGCAACTTTTCAACTCTGTGGTTATGGAGAGACAAACAAGCATTTCAACCATTGTGAAGTAGTAACTCCTCAAATCCCTCCCCACCACCACGAGCACATACAGACATTTATTCTGTGATTTGTCCAAAGACTCCCCGCACTCATGGTCCCACATGACTCTGAAGATCTCAAGAACAAACGAATAACGGGGGAACCCACACTGCGACTCCCTTCAAGACCCCACAGGAAAGACATCTCAGCAGGCTTACTATGGGCAGAAGCTGAGGGTAGAAGAAAAGCTGGGAGTCAGCCACATCCATGGTCATGACCAGCTGTCTCTGGTACGCCCGCTCATCTGTTGAGATCTCTTGTCGGCTAAGCAGCACACAGTTTTTTAACAAACTATTCATGTACACTGGAAACACCTTCATGGAATCTGGTAAGATTAGCTGAAAAAGATAAGATGATTAGTTTTCTATCTCTTGACTGAAAAAGTCTCCTTGAACTTCATCTGTAAGGTGGAAACATTTGCTTGGAGGCTATTGTAAAGGGGACTTTGTGTAGCCCATAAAGTCCCCCAAACAATAAAACTAACAGGCAGTGGGCATCCAAAGCATGGTGAGTCATTCTGTTTCGTTAAGTGCTACCACACTTTGGGTATTAGCATGACCACACTCGCTATTAGCATGACCTATGTGTAGAATCAATCCTAACTCTGTCTCTTAGGAGTGTGTGACTCAGAGCAAACCCCTTTCCCTTTTCCTCCATTTTATCACCTGGAGATAGAATAGCATAGCTTTGTCATGAGCACAGAGTTGCTATGACAATTAAATAATTAATCTCTGAGCATTATTTTATACTAGCATATAATATCCTCTACATACAATTAAACAAAATGAAATGATGAGCCATTTCCTAAGTATACTGCCAACTTTGCAAACAGAAATGTCTTTTCATTTTTTTTGAGATTTTTAGACATCTTATTTTCATAAAGTAGTTCGCAATAGTTCTGTCACTGTCACTGTCCTCCTGTTGTTCATCGATTTGCTCAAGCGGGCCCAGTAACGTCTCCATTGTGACAATTGTTACTGTGTTTGGCATATCGAATATGTCACAGGTAGCTTGCCAGGCTTTGACATGCAGGCAAGATTGCAATAGTTCATTACAGATAATATTCAAACACCCACCCCACCAGCAAGCATCTTCCCATCACAATAAGAGGGAAGTGTGTGAAAGTTGTTGTATTTCATTGTGGAGCCATTTAAGCCTGTATATAAGAGAACACAAATGTGATTCAAACCCAGGGAGCCACACATATAAGGCAAATACTCCACCATGGCCACTGCCACACCTCTAGTGGTATATTATCATATTTTATTTATATGCAATGTTGAGGATAAAACCTGGGTCTCATGTATGCATGGCATATACTTTACCAACATATACTATATACTTTCTCCTGCAATTTTATTATATTGTTCTTTTGTTATATTTACTATACTACTAATGGAAAACTTTACTATGTTGTTACTTCTTATAATTGTATAATCTCTACGTTTTGCTATTCTATGATGGATAATCCTAAACTAGGTGGGTCACTAGGAGCAAATTGGGAAAACAAAATTCTTTTCAAAAAGCCTACAGGTTTTGTTTCTTTAAATAGGCCACAGATTTGTTTTCAACTGAATGTCTTTTAACCTAATTGTTTTAATCTGCACAAGTAAATTTCCTGAGAGGGCTAACTGTACCTGTTCCCCTCAGTTTCATCAGTTTCATCCATCGAAAGTCTAAGATATTCCAGAGACAGAAAAAAGTTCTCACTGCTCAAAAACAAACAGCTCAATTGGAGAGGTCATGATTACATTGGATCCAGGCAAACCCAGTGGGCTTTGTAAAGCTTAATAAGTAGTAATACTGGTATTAGAACTTGTTTAGTTTTGGGACTATACCAAAACAGGCCTTAGTCTTGGCTCTGCGCTCAGGGATTACTCCAGGTGGGCTTGGGGACCATCTGGGGTATCAGGGATTGAACCCGGGTTGGCCACATGCATGCAAGCACCCTAACTCGCTGTACTCTCACTCTGCTCCCAATATTGGAATATATTAAAAGTGACAAATCTCCTGAATTGTAAAGAGACTGACATGTGCATATTTAAGAGGTGCCTAGTGATGAGCAACAGAGATGAAAGAATGGATCACCAATTGAGTTACGTTAAGTAGCTCGTAGAAGATGGCACTGAAGTGTCCTGATCAACAGCTCAGTGCTGAAGGAATGCACAAGCTGTCACTCTGTCACACCTTAGTGTATCAGGTAAGCTTACCTGGCTCGCGGCAGATGGACTTGCGCAGTGTTTTCGGTAACATGCCAACATGTGGGCAGTTTGGTTGACTAGGATCTCCCGGATGACCTTCAAGGGCTGGTTCAGAACTGCTTTAAAGGCTATTTGTATAAAACAAGGAAAAGGGAACCACAATTTTAGCTCAGAAATTCATTCCCTCTAATAATAACAGCAAGGACACACAACAAATTGCTACCTTCACACCACCCAACAATGAATAACAGGGCTTAAAATGTTAAAACTAATTTGCTAATGCTCTCATCTTGACTAAGTATAACAGATTTGGCTAATGAAGAAATGGGTCTTTCTATAGTGAAACTCAGGTACTGGATCCAGATTTTTTTCTCAGAATTTAAGAAACAGAATTCTACATACAGAAAACAGCAAAGTTCGCCAACTTCTCATGTTCTGAATTTCTATAGGCCAGATTGTTACTTCTTCTAAACTTTAATGTAGAATTTCAAAGTGTGGGGAGGTAAAATGTGTGGAAGAAGCCAAAAAATATGCCGCCTTTGGCCCCTTCAATTTTTATAATTATCTCTAATGGGACAAAATTTCAGTATAACAACTGGGACTATCCATGAGCTAGAAGTTACTCTCAGACACCACAGACATCACACCTTCCTCAATTTCAACTCAGACTTCCTGAGAGCCTTGACACTGGACCAGCATGTGGGCCTTTAATCTGGGCTTAGACATGCTGACTCTCCTCCTTAAGCCTTTGTTTTTGCATATTTGGAAGTTATTCACCAAAAGGATGCAGCCCCCACCCCTCCCCCATTTCCAGTTACTGACTCAGTTAACCAATAGTCTTGGCTGAATGAGTGCAGTTACACTGGAGAGGAGAGGAAAGAGAGAGAGGGGAGGGGAGGAGAGGGGAGGGGAGGGGAGGGGAGGGGAGGGGAGGGAAGGGAGGGGAGAGGAGGGGAGGGGAGAGGAGGGGAGGGGAGGGGAGGGAGGGGAGGGAGGGGAGGGGAGGGGAGGGAGGGGAGGGGAGGGGAGGGGAGGAGAGGGGGAGGAGGAGGAGGAGGAGAGAGAGAGAGGAGAATAAGAGGGAAAGGGGAACGGGAGAGAAAGAAGAGGGAGAGAGGGAGAGAGAAAAAAAGGAAGAGATTAGGGGGAGAGGGAAAGAGAGAGGGAGAGAGAAAGAGGAGAGGTAGAGAGAGGGAAATAGAAAGAGAAAGAGAGGTAGAGAGAGAGAGGGAGAGGAAGAGAGATGCTGCACCACAGGAAAAGTGACTGCACTACCTGACTTGGCGAAGAAGTTGATCAGAGCGTCCGTCTCACAGCTCTTGTAGAGATCAGACAGCTGGGAGCTGCAGTTCAGGCTGAGATTGTGAATCCGCAACCTCCTCTGGCCCCCGATGGTCGTGTAGAGAACAGCACACTGCAGGGGCCACAGCCAAGGTGTTTAGCTTCAACTTAAACGGATTTCTACTGTATCACACCCTGGTGAGCTTGACCCTATTTACATTTTAAAAATGTGTGTTGTGAAAGCCCTCTCCAGTTTTCCATAGAACTTTTTTATCCAGCCATTTTTAAAAAAAAATTTTGCTAAAGACCGAAGGAAAATTAAAACGGAGGAAAGAACAATGAATAATGGGTCTCCTCTGATTTGAACCTGAACTGCGATTGGGTTAGACACATGTAATTACAGCAGTTTGCATTTCCACAACTAGCTTGTATTTCAGACTTATTACCGGGGAAATTAAGTGGAGAAATAGTCCCTTCATTTTCTTAGATCCCTATCTGAAGCCCCTTTCTTTTAAACGTGGACAACTAGCTTTGGAGCTCTTAGGTTTCCAAGAATGCAAACAAGTAACCACTTCCCCAAATATCTGTGATTGAAAACAAAACCCACAACTTTCGAGTTCTTCCAGAACACCAATCTCCCTCCATTCCTCAAGGGCGAGTCGCTCAGAACTAGAACCATGGGAAAATACTTTTTCTTGTTTTAATTCAAAGCCTCCCTGGCTTCCAAACAATTATACTACCAAAGCAAACCCTATTTATACTTCCATATACAATGATGATGTGTGTGCGACTCAGGGCAGTAATAAATAAATGAGTGGTGCCCTGCAGGAGAGAACACTGCAAGCGGTCCATCGGCTCATTTCCCTGATGACTCCTATTGGCAGGGCTCTCGTGCCAGGACCGCTAATCGTGATGGCGCATATCCACATAGGAATTATGATTGTGAATCACACACTGTGATTCATAAACCAGAGTGTGTGGAATAAATAAAAGTGCCCAGATCCAATGGCTTTTGCCTCCGGAGAAACAAAGATGAATTTTGTTGTAAGGATATGGATACAGACGATGGTGTTTTAGTCTTCTTACCAAAGTTGGAAATGAGGATGTTTTTATTTATTTATTTATTTATTTATTTGTCTGGGGCCCACACCAGGCTGTACTCAGGGCTTTTTCCAGGCTCTGTGCTCTGGGATCACTCCTAATGGGGCTCGAATGACCATATGTGGTGCCAAAAGTCAAAACTGGGTCTCGCATATGCAAGGAAAGTGCTCTACCCGCAGAGTACTACCCCGCCTGCAAAAGGAGTATGTGCTTTACTCACCTGGATTAAGGCCCCACTGTCTTCGCCAAGTTTGTCATCATGCTTGAACTCCACAGTCACTGCCTTGTCACAGTCAATAGCAGCCATCTCGACGTCAGTGGTGTTGTTCATAAATATTCCCCCAAAGAAGTCAGTGGCCCTGAAACCTATAGATAAAGGGGACAATCCGCTTCTTAGTTTACTATAATTTTCATTGTTAGTCTAATACAAATTTGAAAAGGAAAGAATTCTACAACAGACACCTGGAGGACAGTATAAATAAAATTTACCTGTGCTGGTACGAACTCTCATAATTGCATCAAATCCTATTTTCTTTTCTATGTCATTTCTGAGGTCATTCAAAAACTGCTGGCTATCCAAGTGGATCTAGAAAATAAAGTAGGAGCAATGTCCACCAGATGGCAGCAGAACACTTAAAATAGCTCCCCCCACCCCGCCCTCATTGTGAGTAAAATCTAATCTTATCCAGAAATCCTGGAAAGGACTCTTAAGGCTTTCTCAGGGTTTATTTCATTGATGATCTCTTATTTTATTAAGTCCTTTATCTAGTTTACAAGATAAATATGTAGCTTGGTGGTTAAAACCAGTCACACTGGGGTAGGGAGCTCGCTGAAGGTGAGTGAGCATGTTGGACACACGGGGCGTCTGAGTTTGAACCCCAGCACCTCGGGGTCCCTTCAAAGAATGATCCCTGAACTGTAACCCTGCAACATCGCCAAACGTGGCCTAAAAGAAAATCAGCCCACAACGTTGCACTGACAGTCTTAACACTGGCCAACAGAACAGACGCGCACACTTGTCCCTGACCTCAGGAGAACCCTTTGTCCTGGCCAGTGCTTCCGTGTGGAGGTACCTTAGAGACCTTCTCCTGCCCCTCGGCTGAGGACAGGTGACTAATCTGACTAGTGGGCTCGAGAAAGGGAAAAGAATGGGAGAAACCTCATTTCTCTGGATGAAGCTGCCTGCCTTGCAGGAGGCACTTTCCTGCTTCTCAGGGGGCTGGGGGTGGGGTGGGGTGGGGAGTCAGTAAGAGATGAGGCATCAGCAAGCCCATTAGCCCACCAATCCCGTACTTCACAGACTGATATTTCTTGTCACCGCTTGTGTCTGTATCTTAGTTCAGGCTGGAAGAGACCAGGAGACTGCTAACCCTCCTCCCCCACAAATTCCAACAACGTAAAGTACTATTTAGTTGTCCCCTTTCAAGATAGTGTCTTATAGATACCTAATGCAAACTATAAAAATGCTATCAAAAATAGTTTTCCCCTGGAGCTGGAGTGATGGTGCAGCTGGGAGGGCATTTGCCTCGTACCCTCCATCACAGCAAGTATCCTGCCACCCTCACCATGGAGTTCACTTTTGATCCTGACCCCTGAGGTGGTAAAACTCTGTTGCAGATTATATCTCAGTGAGGTCTGTCCCCAGACAGTGGAGTCAGGCCAGGGGGCGTGGCGGCTACTCTGGATTGTGGAAGCAAGTGGCTGCCCTGCCTCTGCTTTGGCGGGCACCAGAATGACCCACCCCTTTCTCTGATTTATGCAGGCTTTGTGACTAAAATCTCCAGGCTTTCTTGGGGTTCTGGATGGGCTACCTTCGCCCATCTCCCTGTACTTCCGGGTGCCTGGGCAGTCATGTCCATACCCCAAAGCTGCCATCCAGTTAAAAAAGCTACTGCAGCCTCACCTTCCTGATACAAATATGGAATGGCCTGAACAAACCCAATGACCTCTTAGCAACTGTATTGCAAACATAATGCACACAAGGAGAGAGAGAAGGAAGAAAGTGGGGAGGGGAGGATGTCGGGGGAATTGTGGTAGGTGCGGTGCATTGGTGGAGGGATGGGTGTTGGATCGCTGTACGACAGAAACCTAATCATGAACAGCTTTATAATGGGCTATCTTACAGATATTCAATATTTAAAAAAAAAAAAACCCAAACGGTCGCAATCACGGGGGTGGGGGGGTGGGGGGGTGGAGAGGAGAAGAGGGGCAGGACCTTCTAAGCCTGCCTCCTCCACAGTACCTTCCTTCCCTTACTCTGCAAGTGACGTTTGTCGGCCGCCCACCAGGGGGCGCAGCTCTCAGAATCCAGGGTACCCGGTGGTGGGGTCTGGGCCGTACCTGGAAGTTGTTGTACTTGTACAGGGTTCCCCCGGTGAGTTGAGGCACCAGCCCCAAGGAGGCCACGTCGGAGTACTGGCTGGGGAAGAGGAAGAGCGTCACACAGCAGCCGGTGGCCACACAGTCTTTAGCCAGGGACTCGTAGACATTCGACTGGGGCTGGAAAAGTGTCTGCGGGGAAAGACGCACAGCAGGGAGAAGAAAGTGACATTTCTGGGGGAACACTGGCAGATTTCCTTTTCTTTTCTTTTTTTTTTTTATAAATAAAAATCTCTATTCTCCAGTGATGTGAACTGGGCTGAAGAAATGGAGTACCAGTGCGCCCTCTCCCCCACACCCCAATGCCCCGGCCGCTCCCCCAGAACAGCAACTCTGCACTGGCTCCTGCCTTGGGCATGTGCCCATCTGGCCACAGCAACGAGGAAGCTGACCCGGCTACCCGCAAGGCACAGGCTAGGCAGGTGGCCATTGGTTTCCTACATTCGGTCTTATTCTTCCCTGGGACTTATGGGGAACAGTCTGAGGGTGCTCTGGCACCCAGGGAAGGGGGTCTGCCGTGCGCCCTGCACCCTTCTTCTACCTTCTTCCTGAGTCCCACCCCCAAAGCCCCCAACCATCTCCATTTATGGAGCTGCTCAGATTCTCAGATTCCTTTTGAAAAACAAGCGTGAGGTCCTGTTTTAAATCAGATCAGACATCACTCTTTCCTGGGCTGTGACATCTCCTTAAACCATGGGCAACTCAGAACATTCCTCGGCTAATCCACTGTCCAGGGGTTCCGCGGGCCACACCACCCCTCTTTTCTTACCCAAGGGCCCTGTTTCCTCTAAGTGGACCCCTGTTAATAAGCAGAGGCTGCTTGGAAGGGCAGCTGTTCACAGAATACCTTCTCTTTGTCCGTATTAACCAGTTTTTTGTCATCTCTGTTCTTGAGCTTTCCTGGTGCTTCTGCAGTTGGCAAGGAGGAGTGGAAGATGAACAGCTTCCCAGGACAGTCTGCTGCCTGAGAGGTTGAAGGGGAAAAATTAAAAACCGCAGGAAAAGTTTTAGGTGGGAATTTTTCAATGTTAATGGAGAAAAAGAAATTAAAACATCAGCATCTTCCAGAACCAGGCACTAAATTTCTTTCATTTAAGCCTCACATTAGCCTCTGTCTGTCAGGAGGCAAAGACTCTTCTTTCCACTTTACTGACTGAGAAGCGCTAGGCTGGGAGAAGATATGGATTTGCCTGAAAGCTCCAAGCTGTAATGAAAGTACCAATGTTCAGTTGTATTTCTGTGCATCGTGCTTGCTGTAAAAATATTAAAATAGGGTCTGGAGAGAGATTATAGCAGGTAGGATGCTTGTCTTGCCTGCAGCTAACCAGGGCTCCATTCGTAGCACCCCAGATGGTCCCCTAAATCCACCAGGAGAGACTCTGGGTGCACTGAACACTGGGTGTGACCCGAAAATAAAGAAGTAACTAAGATAATGTTACACAGTTGTAGTAAAAATCTTTTGGCTTTGTTTCGAGGCCACAAGTGGTGCTCAGGGATCACTCCTGGAGGTGCGAGGGGACCAGATGTGGTCGCAGGATCAAACTCAGATGGGCTGCGTGCAAGGCAAGAGCCTGAAGTTCGGCGCTATCTCTCTGGCCCAAAAATACTTTCTTATTTAGCTGATACTATGGTCTTTTAAGAAACAGTGAACCCAATGACGCAAAAGTCAAGAATTCCCAGAGTCAGGATGGAATCCAAGGTCTTTGAAGTGCTATAAACATGGATCAGGTCTAATGTGGTAGCTCAAAGCAGAAGACAGTGGTGCTTTGGCAGCAGCACAAGGAAAACTAGGTAAAATGACAGAAGGGGAAAAAAAGTGATCAAGAACACATACATATCTGTAGTCCCTGGGAGGCGATAAGGAGATGATTCAGACTCAAGAGTCAGCTAGCACTGAGACTATTCAGGAGATTATTTAAGGTGCTAAGAAGTAATGTGCCCAAACTTATAAAACCTAAGTGATTGCCTGTACGGTGCCCCCAACGCAAAACCAGAAAAATGAGATACTAAATCTTTCCTTTGACAGGAGAAAGGTTGAGAAAGGCTGGCCTGGGGAGCCTCCCACTCCAAGTTCGGCTCTGTCACCCTTTCTTCACGGTCATGGTCACGGTCCTCCGGTTATTCATCGATTTGCTCGGGCGGGCCCAGTAACATCTCCATCGTGAGACTTGTTGGTACTGTGTTTGCCATATCGAATACATCATGGGGAGCTTGCCAGGCTCTGCCATGCAGGCGAGATACTCTCGGTAGCTTGCCGGGCTCTCCGAGAGGGGCGGAGGAATTGAACTCGGGTTGGCCATATTGGCTGCTTGCAAGGCAAACACCTTACCCGCTGTGCTATCGCTCCAGTCCTAACCCTTTCTTCATCTTTTTGTTTTGTTTTGTTTTGTTTTGGGGCGATGCTCAGGGATTACTCCTGGCTCTGAACTCAGGGATCCCTCCTGGCAGTGTTTGGGAAACCATGTAGGATACTGGGGATTGAACCTGGATCAGCCATGAGCAAGGTAATCATCCTATCCCACTGTTGCTCGTGCCCTTGCCATCCATTCTTCCGAGAGACAAAGCTCACATTGTCTCTTTGTCCTCAAGAAAGCTAGCTGCATCTACCCCTCTATCCTCACTTCACTTTGCAGACAAGACTTTTACAACTGATGGTATGGCACCAGCACTTTTGGATTCCTGCTGTTCTCTAGCAATCAAGGGCTTCCAGAAAAAAGGAAGGCCATGAGTTTTCCACAATAGGTTTCTCCACCCCACATTTAGGAAGCACAGGAAATGAGACCCTGTGCTCTCATTCTAGGTACTCCATAAGTATTTGCGGAAGGAAGGTTATGGGAAGCATCATCTTGAAATACATTTAAGATCACATTAAGACAATGTAAAGACACACGCCCTCCACCCCCTATCATGATGATATATTTTTAAGCTTAACCACTGACAGCCATTTCCTTCTGACTTTCCTGCCAAATTCTTAATCAAATTATATTTAAGGCCTTGTGGTAGAAGTAATAACTAACTCAGAAAAAAATGTTTTTTGGCCAAGTTAAGACAATGTCAGGAAGTCACATATAATTGCGTTAGGAGTGTCAGACCTTGAAAGAGACTGATTCTGTGAGAAGAAACAATAGGAATCCAGGAGGATTAGGTGCCTTTACAATAAGACACCAAATGCACGGACACTTGCGTGTCCCAGGGCAGCTGAGAACGCATGCTCAGAAACTTTCCAAACAGCCCCCTTTTATCTCTGTGACAAATTAGCAGGTACTGTTTGTTAGTTTTGGTCAACCCTGCTTTGCTTCAACAAGTTTATTACAACTGATTATTACAGATTTTACTTGGCAGTCGGATAGCAGGCAAAGCTATAATTTAAAGAAGGGGGGAGGGAAGCGAGATCCAACGTGTCTTCAGTTGGGTACACAGTAAGGAACGCTGCGCCCTCGGTCCTTCCCCTGCCCACCCCACCCCCATCTATGACCTCCTGAGTGGCTCAGCTGAGCAAACCTGGAGTTTCCGGTGTTCCTCTTCACATTTCTGCCTGGCACGTTCTTGGGAACTGAGGCAATAAGCACCCTGTCTGGCATTACAGAATCACACCTCTTCTGCCACATGGCAAACAACTTAGAAGCTGAGACATTAGAAATGGTATTGCCTTAAAGAGACATAGGCATTCAGGCTGGATGGATAGCTCAGTGGGCTGTGTCACAGGCATGCAGGGGCTCAGGGTTTGGTCCTCAACACAATAAGGTCTCCAGAACCCCCACCAATGCCAAAAGCAGACCTGAGCACTGAGGGAGGAGTATTCCCGACCACTGCTAGGTGGGTCCCAAAGACCAAAATATATACATGCATGCATATATATATAAATATACACACATATATATGTATATATGTGTGTGAAAAAATATATATATAGCTGGAACTCTTTCTCTCCTCCCGCCCTCCCTCTCTCCCTCCCTCCTTCTTCCTTCTTTTCTTCCTTCCTTCCTTCCTTCCTTCCTTCCTTCCTTCCCTTCTTTCCTGACTCCCTCCCTCCCTCCCTCCCTCCATCCCTCTGTTCCTTGTTCTTCCCTCCCTCCTATTTATTGGGCCACACCTGGTTCCAAGTCTACTCCAACCTTTGTGCTCTATGCAAAGCAAGAGCCTGGCCCACTGTCCAGTCTCTTCGGTCTGGAAGGCTCTATTTTCCATAGTATGTGAAAGCTCTTCTGTGTGTGAGTCTTTAGATTTCTATCTTGTTTGTTTGTTTCTGTAGTGCAGGGGATCGAACCCAGATCCCTGGTCACACAATACAAGGCAAGTGCTCTGCTGCCAAACCACCTTAGCCTTGTGTAGATGTTACATGTTATACATGTGGGGCTGAGTCTACCTCTCACCTTGAGTGCTTCCATGCCAGCCTGAACAACAGGTGCGAAGACGGTCTCGTTTTCATTGGAGTCTGCAAACATCTCTGGAATCTGGTCCAATAAACTGTGCAGAACAAAGGAACAAAAGGTTTTAAGCGTTTTGTATAGCCTTTAATAAACGTCAAGAAATAAATCATTAATATTCCAACCCTAAACACGTAAGGTGTTTAACCAAAGTCCAGTGGGTGAATTTTGCAGGAAGAAATATCCTGGCATGATCTGGTACCAAAATTTATAATTTGGCTGGTTGGAACATTCAGAAAGTCACACTCTCAGGGATTCTATTTATAATATTACTTTCACATCCTTGATAAAGTAGCTAAATATTTAGCCATCATCATCATCATCAACTGTTATCACCTTCAAGGAGGAAGTTTCTCCCTAGCTTTCTCTCTTTGCAAGATAAACAGATAAGATTAGATGTAAGTGAAGCAAACTATTCCGTTTAGTCTACATTAAAAAGATTCAGTGGGACCAGAGAAGATATACATAGAAAATACAGCAGGTAGGATATTTGCCTTGCATGTGGCCAACCCACATTCGATCCTCAGCATCCCATATGATCCCTTGAGCACTGTCAGGAGTAATTCCTGAGTGCAGAGTGAGGAATAACCCCTGAGCATCTTCAGGTGTGACCACCCCCCAAAAAATGCAAAAATAAAATAAAATAAAAAGATTCAGTTAACATAACATAAAGGAAAGACTTGTTTAATCCATATCTTAAAAACCCTTTGCCAATGACAAAATGAAATGATAGTGAATTAAAACCTGGGCAATTACAAACAGACATCTGATTTGTATCAAAATTTTAAGACACTTGGTATTTACTTATGAATCACAGCTTGGGATTCTTGATAGTTGACAAGGAAGCCATCCAACAAAGGCACAAAAACTTCTGCAACGTCAGTCACTACCATCATCTGAGGCTGAGCCAAATTACTCTTCACATTAAAGAAATGAAGGACTTTGTTATATGTGATAAAACCAACTCGAATTGCTGAAGTCTCTTCTTGCTCCTCCCTATAAGAAAAAAAAAAGTTTGAGATAAATTTGAGTTCCTTTCGTAAATTTCGGATGAGAAGAAAGTTACCACCTGATATTACTCAAGCACATGTTCTATAAAATATATAGGAGGTATGGTTAAAGTTTGGGTCTTCACTTCTACTTGCAGATGGAAATATGGAGTCACAGTGGTTGGGTATGGGAGTTATTAAGAGCTAAAAAATAAGTGGAGAAAGAAACTCCTAGGTAAAAAAAAATCAGATACCACGAAGACATTTGCTCACATTGTTTTAATATATTTATTTTCAACCCATAGCAATTGCACTCTTGCATTTTTCTCCCATAAACAAGTTAGGCTTGTTTCATTCTTTATAAACAACGTGCTCTCAGAAGTCACCAGAAGGTCAGAAGAACAAATGGGATGGCTGGAGGACAGAAAGGCGCTCGGATTACTCATAGAGCAGCTATTTTTGTCAAGAAGTGACCTGCTCCTCCTTATGGTTCTTCTCATACATATCCGAGAGAATCTTGATGAAGAATGGGCCAGATTTCAATAGTTATGTAGCACCCACATAGAAGGTGTAAATATGAAACAAATCACTGATATAGACTGACAACCTAATGCCTATCTGGTGACCACTTGTAATGGCCACAGCAAGGAAATGCGAGCAATGAGATATTCAAAACCATAACTAAAAGTAGATTTTTTGCTGGTGGTGTTGGTAGTACAAACTCCAAAGCAAGCCCATAATCTTTCTGGAGGGATATAAAATCACAGCTGCCCTCATTTCAGTCTATACTATTTCACAACGGGGCTAGAATCTAATTACTCTGGATTACCAGTGTCTCTCCTTTGCCTCTTCTCTCCCCAACACTACACGCCAAGAACACAACCAAAGTCAGTTTTCATTGGTGGATGTATGTAATATGATGCTAAGTGGTTACAAGCCAGGCACAAAATTTATTTTCTTTGACCCATCAATATTGTTACCCTTAATTTGCTTAGGGCCAACTTTTTGGAAAAGAAATTTCTCCTTTTCTAAATTTCATGCATGGTATGTAAAGCTACTGAGCATACAAGAGACTAAAAAATGGAGAAACCCTGAGGCTGGAGCAATAGCACAGCAGGGAGGGCATTTTCCTTGCATTCAGCTGACGTGGGTTCCATTCCCAGCATCCCATATGGTCCCCTGAGCACCGCCAGGAGTAATTCCTGAGTGCAGAGTCAGGAGTAACCCCTGTGCATCACCAGGTGTGACCCAAAAAGAAAAAAAAAGGAGGAACCCAGATGAAAACATCTACAGTTAAATGGCTGGTCCCACAGGCTTCCTAATTTCTATCATATTTTATGCAGCACCGGCTGTAAAATGATAGATTTTAAACTCTTTAAATTTCTTTTCTAGCTCCTTTGGTAACTGTGTGCATTTGTTCTTTATAGAGGCCTTGATACAGAGGGGAAGTTTAAATCACTCCTCTTTGTTCAAAACTTGGAATCGACACTTACAAGCTTTCAGAAATAGAAATCCTTTTTCCTTTGGAACTATAGTACTTAGATACATCACATGCATGAACTTCAAGATCATAAACCATGTGACTTCAAACAACTATCTTCATACCATACTGAAGTTATATTCCCTCTCATCCGTGCCTAATTATAAGAAGTTTACTCTGCAAGACCAAGTGTATCTCCTCCTTGTTTTGTCAAACTTACCCTGTTGCTTAACAACCAGAAGCCATTTCCTTTTCCAAACTCTTAAAAATTATTCTCAGTGGGGGGGTTTAGTGTCTTAATATATCAGGCGTTATTATTTTATTCTATTTTGGTTCTGGGCCACACCTGGCCCAAGTTAGAGGTTACTCCTGACACTCTGCACTCAGGAATTGCTCCTGGCAGTGGTCCACAGACCATATGGGATGCTGGAGATCGAACCCAGGTTGGCCAAATGAAAGGCAAGAACCCTACTATGTATTTATTATGACTCTGGCGAAGTAAATTGGGCATTTTAAGTGAACATTCTGAGTCTTAGCTACCGCTTCCCAGAAGGTCAACTACAAAAGGGGGAAGTAGAGATTTTGATCAAAGGTGACTCCCACGATGGTCAAACCCCATTTGGGATGGTGAGAGCCCAACAGATGAGCTAACGGTAAGAATCTCTAATCAGTTCAGTGATATCCCCATGAAGGTGTAAACTCAGCCTGACTGAAGCACCAGCCCCTCCAGAATGAGGTTTTATGGACTTGAGAGCAAGAATACCGACATATGCCACTGAGGCCCAGCTCCCATTTCCAAGTAAATCTTTTCATACATAAGGTGAGCAAGGGCCAGAAGATCAGGAAGGGTACTAAACTCTTCCAGCATTTACTTGGGAGTTAACTAAGAGAGAAGACACAAAAAGAAAAATTGTAGAGTAGCCTCTGGCTGCTATGAGCCACTGGGTTTGGACATTTTTCAGTGATAGGAAAGGAAATATCCTGGGGTTCAAAGGATTCGCTTAAATTTGAACAAACATTCTTAACCAGAAAATCTCACATGATAGCTAAATATTGGTAGGCCTCCATGGGAGCATTTGAAAATTTTGCTTATGTTTTGTTTGGGGGGCCACACCCAGCTATGCTCAGGGCTTCCTGGTGGCTCCATGCTGGGGTCAGTCCTACTGGTGCTTGGGGGACCATATAGGGTTCCAGGGATCATATCTGGATTGGCTGAGAGCAAGTCTCACCCACTGTATTATTGCTCCAGCTCCTAAACTCGTGTGTGAAACAAAGAACTACCTTAATATTGTGCATTGTAACAGCCTAACTGCCTAGTTAAATCATATTCAGAAGTGAACTAATCCTTAACCTCTCTTTCATATAAGTCCTATATTTAGAAGTTACATAAAGGCTCTCATACAAAATGTTTTTTTTTTTTGTATTCTGCTTTTCAGTGAACCCTTCCTTAATATTTGCCCCTTGATTTTTGATTTTCATGGAATAAATCTGATAGGGCAAGACAGAAGGTGTTAGTAATTAGATGAACTCAAATGTTCCAAAATCAGCATTTGGAGCAAGTTAGTTACAACAGCATTAAAAAAAAGGCAGCAAGGGCCAGAGAGAGGCCTCAATGAGTTCAGTGTATTCTTCATAAACAGGAGGGCTGGGTTTAATGCCTTGCACCATAAAGTCCCCCGAGTAGCACTTGAAGTGACACCCCCTATCCCCCACCCAAACCATAGCCAAGAGTAGCCACTGAGCACCACCAGGCATGGCCCAAGAAGCCACAATAATAAAAACAGATGTCCAGAAAAAAGTCAAAAGCTTGATCTTTGGGAGAAATGTTTCCTATCTTTCCCTTCCTGTTCTAGAAAAGTCTGGCACCTGGAGATCTCAAAGAAACAGACTGAAGCTCAAGAGTAAACAACAGGGTCTTCTCTTTCCACAGATCCCACTCAAAGAGGTACAGATGTTAACTAAAGCCTGTGCTGCGTGGGAGGGGGGCACAGCTCAGCAGCAGGCTCAGCACACACCTCACACTCCGCTCTGGTGCTCAGAGCACGGACCCACCCACGCCACCTCAGGGGATCTCTGGCACACAAAGACCAAGTGTGTGTGAGAACCACGACACACATGCGTGGGCCTTGGGTGAGAACTGCCACCAAAGTGGGTGCCCTCCAAGGAGAGAGTCTGACTCCCGCCAAGCATGTGTGTGAATATCACAACCAAAGATGTGTGACTCCTATGGTCACAGCGCCACAACCAAGGATGGGTGTGTGACTACTGTTGTCACAGCCGCCCCAAACAAGGGCATGGGGGAACAACATGGAGGAGTGAAAAATAAGTACTGGGTCTTACAAACTATTTGAGGGTGGGGGGAGGGATGCTGTAAGATACAACAGGCTTGGACCTAGCTGGGGGGGAGGGTGAGGTGGCGGCTAAGTCTTGGTGCTACAGTGTTCCCCCAAGCATCACTGGGTGCAGTCTCGAAGGCCCCTGGCACTGTTGAGTGGAGGACCTCCAGCACTGCTGCAGCCTGGTCCGGGATCCCTGGCACCAACAGCCCTGAGTGGCCACATATTCTTGGGCCCTGCCTTGAATTGCAGGCCACACTGGCCGTGTTGGCCAACAAAGATGTACACAAAAACCATTTGGCAGGTTACCTGCTTAGAAATTCAAGAAGTCGCTCAAATCAGTGGCAACCTTACAGTAAAGTAATAAACAGTCCATTCATAATAAGTTTGGGTGTAGGGAAAAGAACCAAGAGTTGTTTGAAAAGATAATGGGGGAAAAGTTCTTTTGGCTTGAATAAAAACTTTCCAGAGAGAGAGAGAGAGAGAGAGAGAAAGAGAAAGAGAGAGAGAGAGAGAGAGAGAGAGTTTTGAAGAGTGGCAGGGGAAGAACTAGCATGATCTTTTCCATTTTTTCCTTGCACTGTTGCCAAAAACACAACGTGCTCCAGTGAGACATGAGAGTATCAGCGCCCCAGGAAAGTCTGAGATTGTATAAAGCTTATCAATAGGTCACAGACGTCGCATCATCGCTGGGTTGAAAAGGACTAAGGAGCAGCGGAGTGTCTGTGGAAATAGGTCAGCCTAATTTAAACTGGGTTGAACGAGGAGAAAGAGTGTTTCCAGAAACCAGAGTCATTTCCTTCCATTCTCAGAGAAATTGGAAACTCATATTTAGAATCAAAATAGCCCATGAGAGAGTTCTGATAAGGGGTGTACCCTTCAGCAGCAAGTCCCTTCTTCACGACTTTTCCCAGGAAAGAGGCGATGGATGGGAAGGAGGGTCGTAGCGCGTGGGCACGCCTCAGATTCTGTTCCGATACCCCCTTTTTCAACGGGCTTGTTCTTTGCTTTCCAGTGTGAAGTTACCTCAATGTTTTATAAACATCCTCAGGGCTTTTTCCAAACCATCCCCAAGAATATTATGACTTCAGCTTCAGGGATACAAATAAAACGACTTCTGGGAGGTCCGTGATTTGTGGCTCTGGGTTTCACGCGTAGTAGAGCACCAGCTTCACAGGGAACAGACGCTGTGGAGCAGGCAGCAAGGACCTTGGGGTCACAGACTGCCCCCCACCCTAAAAAATACACATATACACACACACACACTCACACGCACACACACAAGGCAGCCTTCTCCAGAGGAGAGGTGGCTTAGTACAGAAATGGGGAGAAGGAAGTTAGAGTTCATCCCATCTTTCCTAGCTTCTTATATGTCACCATAAGAAATCCAGGTAAGAAACACCTGTAAAAAACACCTGCCTCTGCATCCCACTGGTAGATGCCACCTGCAGCCTAAAACACTACTTTCTTCTCTATGGGAAACGGTCATGTTTGCTGAAATCCTTTCCCAACTTTCCTTGTATCTCTGCCTTTTAACAGCATGCACGATAATGGACGTTGAGCACCAATGTCACAAGACTTGGAAGCAGAGGGCACAGGTGAAAGCTATGGCTACAATGTCTTGGTCTCTGCTCTCAGGCCCCAAGTCTGTCTTCTGGCTCGACTTTGGGGGTCCCGAGCAGACCCGCCAACTACCAGCTACTACTGCAAAAGCAAGACTTTTGAACCCTCAATGACAGACATCCCTAGGTTCTTACTGCTACCCGGCCAGGATTCTCCTCATTCTTTATCATGGATCAGGAAAGCTATTTACTAGAGCATTGTTTGTTTATTATCTTTTAATCCATTGGCTTTGAATCCATTGGTTTATTTGGCTTTGAACAAAAGAACACTGTGACCTACTAAGGAGTAAAACAAAGGTAATAAGAACTATTAGGATGTGGAAGGGACCAGTATGACAATACTAGTTAGAAGTGATCACTCTGGACAGGAATTGAGTGCTGAAAGTAAATAAAGGGACATTCATAATGACCTTCCAGTATCTGTATTGCAAACCATAATGCTCAAAAGGAGAGAAATAGAGAGAAAAGAAAAGTGCCTGCCATAGAGGAAGGTGTGTGTTCATGGGTAGGAGGGGAGAGGGGTGGGCGGGAGGGAAACTGGGAACACTTGGTGGTGGGAAATGTACACTAGTGAAGGGATGGATGTTGCAGCATTATATGACTGAACCCCAACCATGAACAAGTTTGTAACTGTGCATATCTCACTGATTCAATAAAAAAATCTTTTAAAAATAAATAATGGTGCTGTTTAGTTTTAAAGAATCGCCCACTGCCCTCCTCCGCATGATAGCAGCAGGTCACTCAGCGCTGGCTTTTCTGCCCACATGGAGAGAAGCAGTGGCACGTCAATTCTGCAGAGCATCAGCTCTCATACCTGGGAAGCCGTTCCAGCACAGTCTTCAGTTCCTCGCAGATGAGTTTCACAAGTCCGTTCTTGATGTTGCTGTAGGAGACGTCAATCATGAAGATGAAGGCTGGTGGGCTGGGAGGCTTGTTCTTCTGCAGGAGAGCAAAAAGATCACACATGCACAAACAGTTAGCAAGCGTCTACAGCCCGTTATCCGGCTACAGTGCTACTAAGCTCTTCAAGCCCAGCAGGAGACGGGACACAACATCTGTGGAATGAAGTCACTGTCTAGAACAGTCTGTGAGGGGACAGAGAGAAGCTGTTTGTTTTCTAGGCAGTGACCCGGGTGCCACAATTGCATTTGATGGCATTGGAACAATACCATGGAATTATAACAACATCCGTCTGAGAAGGGTCTCTGTGGCATAAATCCAGGGGCCATAATTGCTTCAGGGGTAAAACAGCCTCATGGCTGGCCTGAAGAAGGGGAGTCTAGATCTCTGACAGAGTACACCACAAAAGAGAATAGACATTAGCATTTGTTTTTGACACTGTAACTTATGTCACTGAAGTGATTATTTTCATGTCTCTTCTTTTATAGAGTTTTAATGATATGAAGTACTGATGTTTAGAATTGTTAGTGTAGTGTGTTAGTAAAGAATTTTATTGTGTCATTAAATGATAACCTATTTATTACATAGTCATGGCAAACAATTACATATTGGGCCTTTTCTCCATTTAAAACAGTTACTATAACATAAAGCAGATAATATCTAAACATTCCTAGCTGTTGATCTATTTACTGGCTAATGTTCAAACACCCTTGGGAAGAAGTGTTTCTCCAATTGGGGTCTTACAACATATTTATAAAAGAGAGTCACAGGCAAACAATGTCTGTGACTCACATTAGAGAATAATGAGTTGAGACTAATATAATTTTTATCTTTATGATTATAAAAAATGTATCAAATAATTTACTTAAATATTCATAGTTGCAAAATGAGATCATATCTCCATATTATGCTACTGATTCATTCTATATTCAAGGTAGCATTCTTGCATCACAATAAAAAATCAGAAATCAAAACAAGAAAAAGACCTTTGAAATAAGGAAAGAAAGCCAGAAGGAGAGGGACAGCCACAGAATGATCTCTCTCATACGTGGGATATAAACAGTAGGGCAATTACAAACACCCAAAGGAAACAGCAACTGAGAGCTGGTCTTCAGGAGGAGGCTGACCCCAGGGGGTGGGGAAATCGACAATGGAACAATGATGGGCAGAAGTGGACACTGGTGGAGAGTGTACAGCTGCAATGTTTAATGTTGAAACCCTGCCACTAAAAGTTGTAAGCCCTGGTACCTAACCTACAACAAAATTTTCAAAAACAATAATAATCTGGATCTGAAATCTCACTCCCTCCAGGAAAGTGACCATTTTCCTTACCTTCTACACTGGTTTACCATAAAATTGGTGGGGTTTTTGTTCATTTTTGTTTTGGGGCCATACCCTGGTGGTGCTCAGGGCTTACTTGTTGCTCTGTGTTCTGAGACCACTCCTGGTGAACGCAGGGGACCATATGGGTACTGGGGATTGAATCCAGGTCAGCTATATGCAAGGCAAGTGTCCTAACCACTGTGCTATCTCTCCAGCTCCCAAATGTATTCTCTTGACCATATTTTAACTGTGTGGTTCAGGAGTATTAAGTATTATTACAATGTCGTGTTAACTATCACCTACACTCACATCTATAACTCTGTTTCAGTTATCTGGTGTAACTGAAACTCTGTACCCATAAAACTATTAATAATTTACCATTCCATTCTCTCTCTCTAGTCCCTGGAGACCAACATCCCACATTTTTACATTTATTCTGTCACTGTGAATTTTATTACTGTAGGGTAATTTAAAAACTAGAATCAGACAATATTTACTTTTATGTGGCTGGCTTACTTAATTTAGCACAATACCCTCAATATCTATCCAGGAGACAGTCTGTCAGTATTTCCTCCCTTTTAATGGCTGAATACTATTTCATTGTATGTATGCACAGATATACACAAATTTATTGAATGTGACTAAGTCATTTTCAAAACATGTAGTCAATCCACTCATCAGCTGATAAACCCTTGGGCTGCTCCTACTCTTTGGCTATGAACCTGAATGTTTCCTTGAGACTCTTTATAATTATCTTTCTTATGTATCCAGGAGTAAAATTGCTGGAGCATATGATAATTGAACTTCTGATTTCTTGAGGAATTTCTCCACTGCCCTCTTGTTCTTTGGCCTCAACCACTGTGTTGGCTTCTAATAGCTCCCTAAGGCCAATCTCTCACCTTTCATTACACCTTTTATTACACAATCACTACAGGACAGATAAAACTATTCAAGACATAATACGGATCACAATGATACTGTGTCCAATGACATGAAATTTACAGAGATTCCAGAGCTGAGAAAATGGCTCAGAAATATCCACAATATTAGAGATTTACTAAATAAATTAACATGTGAATGGATGGAATGGGAAGATGGACCGATGGATGGAAAAACTTCCCTTTGGCTTTATCTGTTTCATGAATTAATATTACTTATTCCATGGTATGACAGGCAATACTCTCTTTAGTTCTCCTTCAAGAAATAGATATACCAACCAAAGAGATAAAACATCAAAGATGCTAGACCCAGTGGAGGGTGAAACAGTCTGAGTTCCCCAGCTTTACTTCCCATATTTCCCATTACTCATTCCTCCAACTAACTCAAGTGCCTGCCATTTAAAAGAAAAAATTCTTATCCAGAAGTCACAGTCTAGAGGGCCTGGGCCAAGAATTTGGTCAAAAGTGTTTTGGCCAAAAGTGTTTTGTTTGGCGTATGCTATTTAAAAATATATATCTGAATTAAAAAGGGGAATCTACCTCCAACTATCCTTGTTCCTATCTGAGTCCACACCACTCATCTATGAAGCCTGACTACTAGTCCCTGAACAAAGTGGGTTGCAAGTTCCTTTTTGAAACTTCTCTCTCAGACTTATTTCCTTCTTTCATTCCTACAGGACTATACTCAGGGCTCAGGGTTTGGCCCAGCTCCCTGTGTCACCTCCTTTTTGAGTCCTGTGATTCTTTATATTTTAAGCTATTCAGGGCACTTTACACATGGTATGTTCCCGCATGGCAGGTCCCCTGAGATAAGGCTCACAGTCCTGCTGACTGCAATGTCCCTCACGGCACAGTTAAGGGCCCCTGGACATGCTAAGCATTCAATAAATGCCTGAGTAAAGTAAAATTTAAAGGAGAAACAAACATATTTAGAAAAAAGGGGGGGGGGAACTAGTGGAGATGAGATTTTACATTTCTAGTACAATTTTGTGCCAATATATTCCATAAGGGCTAGAGCAATAGCACAGCGGGTATGGCGTTTGCCTTGCATGTGGCTGACCCAGCCAACCTGGGTTCGATTCCTCTGCCCCTCTCGGAGAGCCCAGAAAGCTACTGAGAGTATCTGGCCCACGCAGCAGAGCCTGGCAAGCTACCCATGACATATTTGATATGCCAAACACAGTAACAACAAGTCTTACAATGGAGTTGTTACTGGGCCCGCTTGAGCAAATCAATGATCCATGGGAGGACAGTGCTACAGTGCTATATTCCATAAATGTCAAATGAGAAATTCTGGTATGTAATGGAGCTGGGATCTTTTATTTTAGGTGATTTCCCTTTCATGACAATTTTATAAATATTGCCCATCCCTCCACAGCGTGCTTACTGATGGAGAGTGAGGGATCTGTGACCATATCACCTAGGGATCAGTCTGGGTCAATTTTATAATGTCAGGTTGGTACCTAAACCCTCGAAGCTTCAATTTCTCCATGTCATGGTGGTAACTTTCCACATGGAGATCCAGATCCCATACAGTTAACATCCCACATAGCAAATGCTTAATGAATGCTAATTTTATTACTTAAAAGTGGTATTATGATGAACTAAAAAAAATTTCATTGCTAAAATCCCCTTTAAGTTTATATGGTGTTAAAGATATACATAGATAGGAAATGAACTCTTTTATATCATCCAAAGTCCTCAGGCAACTCATTATGCTCTATTGACATTTAAAATTTTAATTATTTTTAAGACATTTGCAGGCTCTTTTATTAAGAACTTGGAAAAGTAATAAGAGTAATCTTACAAAGGTAAAACCCAAAACAACAACCTCTTCAAAATGTACAATTTTCACTTGGTTGCTTGCCTGCTGGGTAAGATTTCCCATCAATTAGACATCTGGAACATTTCCAGATAAGAGTTTAAAGATACCAAGACTTTTGTTCCCAGAAATAGATTTGACTCTCTGCCTAAGTTTCCACTAAAAAAAAGCATAAAAATCAAGATAATGCAGCCTTTTTGGCATAGAAGTGGAAACTCCAAGCATGGTTAGATTTATGGTACAGTTGCAAAGATCAGCGAACAAATTTTCCATCACTAGTTATAATGGTTTTATTACATTTAATCAGAAGTTCAAATGTTTATGTTATGCCTAATCCTCCTCCTCCAGTCAATAGCAGAAAAGAACAAACAGTGGTTCCAAAAGTCCTTGACATCTTAGGACATTATTTTTTTCTTCTGAAAGAAGGCATTTGTACCAAAAGTGTTCTTATTTCCCAGAATATACTCAACTGCTACAATGTTTTAAACCAACAAAGCATTACATTTTCTGTAATAACTGATTTTATATAACAAGGTTAAAAAAACTAAAACAAACACTAAAAAAGTATGGGAAATACTAAATTAAAAAGTTGTCTCAACTGATACAACTTAAAATCCAATCAATGAAAAAATATTCAATTAGAGAAAAATGTTCTTCATAATTTATAGTCAATACACAGATTTGCCCTTTAGTAAATATCTACAAAATAAAAATCTGGGGTGTGTTTTCTGGCAATTGGGCACCAGGAGGCATTTGTTTTTGGAAGAGGAAGTCAGAAGGACCCCAGGATCTACATTAGGACTACACATGGAACTTCAGATATAAGCTGGAATCTGATTTATTCTGTAAGATACTTTCAAGTCACTGACAAATTTTAATTCTGCACAAAACAGTCATACTGAGGGCACTGTCGCTATAGCATCGAAGATAGCAAACTATCAGTCTGGGAACAGTAACATACCTGAAAATCCATTCATTCATTAATTCATTCCCTCCTTCATCCCATATACATCTCTCAGCAGCTTACACGACGCCAACACTGTGGTCAATGCCACAGCAGATTCATGCCACGATGCTCATTCTCAAGGCTATGAGAATCTCTTAAGAAGGAAACATGTCAAAGATTCAAATTTTACTGGAATGACTACCTACATATATAAAGGGGCCAAACTCTCTGAAAGCACAAAGGTAATCTCAGAAGATTTAGCAAATGTTAACATGAGTCATGGAAAGCTGGACACATGGATACATGGGTGTGTGAATGCATATGCATGCAAATGTGTGTGCACACACATGCACATTTGCGCACGTGCACACACACACATGCATGCACACACACACACAATTTCAGTCAGAAAGTGAAAAGAGTGTTGGAGAGAGGCAGTGGCTAGTCTGCTTGAGATCTGACGAAGCCCAGAACTGTGCAAGCATTGAGGGGCCAGAGTGATGAGGTTTTGTATGTCTGAAGAGTGAATTAAGGTGGTGGTTGGGAATCCAAATCAACTAATGGCCTTGCAAGCAAAGCTAAACATTCAGATTTTGATTCTATTTGTTTTTGTTTGTTTTAGGGCCACACCTGGCAGTGCTCAGGGGTTATTCCTGGCTCTGCACTCAGAAATTACTCCTGACTGTGCTCTGGGGACCTATGGGATGCTGGGAAATGAACCCAGGTGAGTTGCAGGCAAGGCAAGTGCCTGCTCACTGTACTATTGTTCCATCCCCCAGATTTTAATTTTAATAGTTTAGTGATTCCACTTCAAGGAAACCAGGTGGCAGGATACCCAGCTGAACAGATGGCTCAGGGGAGCCTCATCACTCTGGGGATTAGTGGAGAGCAGCAGGAAGGCAGAGAGAAATGTGACCGTGTTTGCACACACAGGGCTGAGTTCTGCTTGAAATGCCCCTGAACTCACTGGCAGAACAAGCAGGGCAGAGGTACAATCTGTAGAACTCAAGTGACCCCAGCACACTCTCTCTGTGAAGACAGAGTGGACTTTAAGTAATCGTGTTTTCCTTCCAGCAACATTCTCCATCTTTTGAAAAATGATCATAACAGAGGATGGTGTAACACTGTTGATCTGTTAATCTTAGCCTTCCAGGCTGGACCTCCATCACTCAGGTACCACGCAAACCCTTTGTGAGTCAAAAGTCAAGAGCTCCTTACATGTGAAAGTTAGTCACTTGAAGCTGACACCCGCACCTCAATACTCCAAGCACCAGGAACACTTACTCTGCAGTAATCCAGAGTAGCAACGTATTCATAAGATCCTAGAGATAGCTCTGGCTTCTCATAGTAGTCCAGTCTTCTTCCCATGTGGTCCAGATGTTGGAAATAAGATGGTGGAACTAATAAAAATAAAATAGGAAAGGAAATCTTTTGTTTTCTTAACACAGGCAATTTAGTTATGTTCTCAAATTTTATTATGGGAGGAAAAGAGTTAGTATACAAAAAAAACTTAAGCTGAGTGCAGTAGATTCTAGATAGCCACTATTTAAGAAGCCTGCCTTGAAAGTACAAGGATTTTCGAAAAACTCTCTTGACCCTTCTACAAAGTTACTGGTAACAAAGAGGGTCCTATAGGAGAAAAGGCACAACAGTCCTTGTTCTTTAAGGCTGTCATAACCAGCCTTCATTTCTATTTAAATGCCACCTTTAAAAGAAATTTTGCCTTTTCTACCCATTTACATTTTCAATGCACATCACAGAAACATACGTGGGTTATCTGTGCTATACTATTAGCTACAGTGTTTACTATTCATTAATGAAGCAGTGCCTTTGGCCACAGGGATTCTGCAAGGTAATCTGTCCTTGTTCCGGTTTCACAGTGGAGAGGATTACTGTATTAGGGAAAGATTTCGCCACAGAGATCTCAGCTGAGAAGCTCTTAATTTGATTTGAATGTCTAAGAAGGTTCCTTCTGGCAAAGACCTGGAAGCCATCCAATAGCACAGGAACAATTATGAGTCACATCTGAACACTTGGACAAATATGGCGTGGTATCTCTGAGCTGCCGCCCAGCTAGTAAACTGCTCTGAGTACAAGTACTCGGAGTCACCAGAAAAGCTCTGAGTTTAAACATTTCATAAAGAATGCCATATTCACTTGTAAAACCACAAAGTACTGCCTTTTGTTCTAAAACAACTCAGTATTCTTAATTTCTTTTTTTGTTGTTGTTGTAATCGAACTAGCAGCATGTATGACAATAGGACTTCTTGTTTTTTGGTTATATCTGTTAAAAAAAATAGCCAGGTTTGATTTTTCTTTTGTGTTATCATACCATGATCAATTCTCTTCAAATACGTTTTATTAAGTTTCAGAGGTACATGTTGATCTCTGAATTTTAAAAACTCAGTGTCTTGAAGAAATGCTGGGTGGGAGATGGTCTCAGTTCAGACCTAGGAGGGTAGGAAACTGCTGTCAGGGCTGAAGCTGTTAACTGGAGGAGATGGGCAAGGCTTCCTTCTCCCTCTGAGGATGCCTGGTCTGGAATTCCTACACACCGGAGCCTCAGATGGACTCTCACTTGCATGCACAGGTAGATGGGAAACACAACCTTTAAAGGGAATTGAATATTCACTACCATTTGACAACATGCCATTTGGTGATGCTCAGGGGTTACTCCTAGCTCTCAACTCAGGAATCACTCCTGGTGGTGCCCAGGGGGACCCTATGGGATGACGGGGCTAGAACCCAGGTTGAACCACGTGCAAGGCAAACACCCTGCCTGCTGTACTATCTCTCCAGCCCCAAATAGGCCATGTTTTATGAACTAAACTTCAAGCCACACCATAAATAATGTACTGCTGTCAACATCCATCTCCCTGCATGTCTTTTGGCCTTAAATGCTCCTTACCAGGCAAAATAGGGACATTTCCAGGTCAACAAAGTAGAACTGCACATGAGCTTGCTGGGGTCTCCCTAAGGTCAACAAATCTGACCTGCTTCAACTATATGAAGAATGTAGGTATCCGTTTAGACCAACGGCAGCCGGGCTCCCTTGTAGGGACTCAAACTGGAGACCAGTCTGAGTATGCCTGCTGGGTCATTCATTTAACACATCCACGTGAGGTTTCAACATATGCATCTCCCCTGAAGCTAAAAGTGTATGCTTCTGATAACCCCCCAGTTATCTGTATTGCAAACCATAATCCCAAGAGGAGAGGAAGAGGGAGAGAGTAAGAGAGAGACAGAAACATAGAGACAGAGAGAGAGAGAGAGAGAGAGAGAGAGAGAGAGAGAGAGAAAGAGACAGAGAAAGACAAAAAGAGACAGAGAAAGAAAGAGGAAGTGCCTGCTATGGAGGCAGCCTGGGGGAGGGGAGTGGCAGGAGGGAAACTAGAGTCATTGGTGGTAGAAAATGGACACTGGTGGAGGGATGGGTGTTGGAATGTTGTATGACTAAAACCCAATCATGAACAGCTTTACAATGGTCTATCTCATAATGATTTATTTAAAAAAAATAAATAACTAATAAAATAAAATGTAAGTTTCCCTGCTGGACCTCAGTGGGTGCGTGAAGGGTGCCACTCACCGTCATTGACGCAGTTGCAGAACCCGCACTGATACCGCCGTCCACCTTCGATGAACTGCATGAAGGGACACATGTAGGCTTTGCACCGGTTGCACCTCACGGGCCCACTGTCTCCATGGTTGACCAAGTAGAGTGGAGTCTGCAAGAAGCAAGGCAAGAGGAGAGAGACGTCTGTCAAGGGTGTCACAGATCCTGTGTCATCACTGTGATGTGGAAAGATCTTCGAACACAGTCATGAAGGAACGTGCCAGGGATGGGATCCCCAGAGGCTCCCCTATGCATTTAACGTGCTTTATTGCTGCGCCAAAAGCCCAGCCAGCCCTTGTTAAGTAACTTGACAATTTTTTGTTTTGTGGGTCAAAAAAAAAAACCAGCAGTGCTCAGGAGATCAGGTAGTATACAGTGGATCAAACCCACGCCTTCCACATGCAAAGCTTGGGCTCAGCTGGTTGGGCGATCTCTCTGGTGCTCCTCATTAAGGAATTCCTGTACTTGGCTGGCAAATGAGACTGTCTCTCTTGATTGCTTGTGATTTTTAAGCAACACCCATACAACAATTCATCTAAACTCATATCACAATTATATGCATATATGTACCTGGGATGTTGTGTATGTGTATGTGTGATGGCATATCTACTGATTTGCAGAGAGAAAGAGAAAATATAATGATGATAACAGTACCCATTAACACTTGTATTAAAAATGCCCTGGTCGTCTTATATTACATAATATGAAAAATCAACTCATAGACTATAAATAAAGAAGTGAATCAGTTCTGACTGCCCAAGGCTCAGTCCGCAAAGCAGGAAGCTACTAAGATGGGGCCAACAAAGAACCCATGAGGTGTCTTAACACAGCATCTGAGGGCCAGAGAGAGAGAGAGAGAGAGACAGCAGGAAGGGCATTTGCCTTCTATGTGGCCAACCTGGGTTTGATCCTTCTCACTCTGTATGGTGGGCACACCCTGTGCCCCATCAGGAGTGAACCCTGGGCACAGAGTACCTGATGTGACCCCAAACAAACAAACAAACAGATTTCATCTGAAGAACTTAGCAGTGGCCCTCTCTCATTTGGGCAGGGAGAGCAGGCCTGCCCCCTCTATGGCTTCATCTGACGGCCGAAGCCTCACAGGCTGTTCTTCATGCAGCGGCTCCTGCTCTGCCAGCACTTGCGAACCAAGATTTTATGAAGGTTGAACTAAAGAAGCTCAACTGCTTCTTCCTCCCAAACAAGTGAAGAAGCCATGACGCATCTTGTAGAACTCGGAAGTAAAAACTCTCAGATTCTGCAGCCCGCCTTTTTCCTCAGCTCTTCTGGCTTCCAGAATGAAACCACAGATTCCAATTAGGGCTTATTTTTTTTTTTTCACTTTTTAAAATAAATCTCCTTAAAGATAACATTCCTAGAAGAGTCTTAAAGTACTGGGTTTGGCATGACTAGGAAGTTTTCCTCTAAAGAAAGACATAAATAAAACAGACTACTCTATTAATGTAGGACTAGAGATGGGGGGGTGGGAGTGGGGTCATCTTCTGTGTATCTGAGAAAACAGAGATCTACTATTGGTCCATAGCCTGTTGTTCCCTGAGAAAACAGATGCAAGGCAGAAGTTTCAGAAATGAGCTGTAAAGTACGAGAGGGAGGGGGAGATAAGGGAGAGAGGGAAAGGAAGAGGGAGGGGGGCAGGGAGAGGGGCAGGGAGAGGAGGAGGGACAGAAGAAAAGCACCTGCCATTGAGGCAGGCAGAGGGTGGGAGGTTATGGGAGGGATTCTGGGAAATGCACGCTGGTGGAGGGATGGGTGTTGGAATACTCTATGACTGAAATCTAATCATGAACAGCTTTGTAAGGATCTATCTCACAGTGATTCAATAAAAAAGTTAAACAACAACAATAACAATAACCAAAAAAAAAAAAAACCCAGCCCAGAACAAAACAAACCCCAAAATCCAAAACAAAGTTTAATAAAATCAATGAAAGCCATAAGGAAAGAGTAAGGAAAAAAAAAAATGACAATCCTGTCCCCTTGCTCCTGGTCCCTGGAAACTAGAGGATGGGCAAGGTTATTCTCTTCCTGGTCTGTCCTGAACGGAGGCAGGGAGAGTGTGTGTCTGTCTGTAACACAGAGGCCAAAAATCAAGACACGTAAATAGGAGCACATAAATAGCGCTGAATGAGACCCAAGCTGAGACCTGGTGTCCCCATCTCTGCCCTTCTCTCCCGGATCCACTTAGCTCCAAAGATTTTTTTCATTCATTTATTTTTGATTGGGGGCCGCAACAGGTGGGTATTCAGAGTTTTCTCCTGACTCTGAGCTCCGGGATCACTCCTGGTAGGGTTCGGGGGGGCGGGGGGGCGGGCAGATGCAGTGCAATGTACTGAAAAGCCAATGCCTCACCCGCTGTTCTATCTCTAACCCAGAGAAATTCCTTATTATCCTTTTTACTTGTTTGTTTTGGGGGCCAAAGAGTTAACAGAATAGGTATAGTTGGGTAAATGTGAGTGAGGTTTGAGCATCTAAAGGGTATTTACATAAACGTTTACATGAACAAATTATGAAAAACAAAACATCACTGCGACTGAGATAAGGGGGAGACACGAGATAGGGTAGTGGTTAGAATATATGCCTAGCATGTGTCTGACCTGCGTTTGATTCTGAGCACCACCTGGTCCCCCAAGCACTGCTGGAAACAGCCTTTGAGGCCCCCAAACACCACCAGGTGTGGCCCTAGAGGCCCCCAGCACTGCTGCAGTGGCCTGGGCCTCCTGGCACTGCCTGGGCCTCTTGGCACCTCCTGGTCCTCTGAGCAATGAAAGATGCCTCGAGCACTGAGTCAGGAGTGACCCATGAAGTACTGTAAGGGAAGAAAAGGAAAAAGCTGAAGGATCTAACCCTGGCATCTCAGCACAATGAGTGAAGAGTTGGAATAAGGAGTGGGAAACCACACAGACAGGGTGGCTTTTTCTGGGTCACAAGTGACAGTGTCCATCATGCTTTCCACGGCTGTCCCCTGTGCTGTGTGCCCCCAAAAGGACAAAGTCTGCATTTCTCTCACTCCGGCCCAGGTGACTTTCTCATTCTTTGATTTTCCAAGGGTTCAAGGGCTACCATCAACTCCCCCCCAAGAGACTTTGTTAATGCAATTATCCACAGAGGTAAGTGCAAGGAAAATGAGCCCTTATTTTCGGGGGTAGGGTTCGCACAAAGGCAGGCTCTGCCTCACATGGGGAAGAACTTGTCAGGACTAACACCTCAGCATTCCAGTCCCGGCAGATTCCAACCTGTAGCGCTCTGCGGCGGGAAGCAGGCCGGGATCCGGTGACAACTGTATCTCACTGTGTGCTGTCGCTCCAGCGCGGTGATGGATAGGTAAGCGGCCCTCAGACAACTGAGGTGCCAGGAAAGAATGTTAAAAGCTTTTTAACTGTTTGGGGCAACAGGACAAGGGTTTTTGCAACTGCACCGTCTCATTTCATTTCTCCTAGGCATGACATGACGGTTTTTCTTTGCTCTCTCCACAGCTCTCTCTCTCTCTCAAAAAAAATGGGGGACCACAAAAGCAGAAGAAAAACATTCAAGGCCTACTTCTGGCAGGGTTTGGGGGACCGAATGTAGTGCTGGGAGGCAAACCCAGGTTAGTCGAGTGCAAGGCAAGTTCCTTACCCACTGGACTATCTCTGGTTCTCTATTCTCTGAAATGAAAAAAAAGGAAAGAGAAAGAATGGGGCCCAGAAAACCCTCTCTGGCTACTGGTTCTGGTCCTGTGCGGTCTGAAATTGGCTTCATCGCGGTGATGGGAAGTTGTGGAGAGATTGGGTAAAAGGTTTTCCCCGGTATTTCATGGTTACCGGGGCTGTGCCAAAGACTGCACCGCTACTAGTTTTAATTAAGATGCTTCAGATGAACAAAATCGTTCTCTTCTTTTGTGCATGCATAATACCATGGTTTACTGTGAACCACAAGCAAGAATATAGTTCGCAGGGGAAGAAAGAAAATCAAAGGCTCAATGTCCTAAAAGAAGGGACTTAAAAATTAAACAGAAGGGCCAGGAAGATCGCTCGGGTGGCAGAGCAAATGCCAAGCAAGGGTGAGGCCCTGCTTGCTCGCATCCCCTCTTCCTATTTGTCACAGTAACCTAGAACTGCTAGGTATAGCCTAGGTGTCCCCTATCATAAACAACAAAGAAAAAAAAGCAATCTTTTTATTTTTAATTTAAAAGGAATAAAAAAGATGGGTGAATTGATAGTTCTTTGCAACTACTAAAGAGGAATGTTCTTTCCTCTTCCATCCAGGAGAGCGGCAGGAAGACCCTCTATCCACTTCTCCTTTCTTCCTGTTCGCCCCATTCGCAGATTAATTATTATTATTATTATTATTATTATTATTATTATTATTATTTTGCTTTTTGGGTCACACCAGAAGATGCTCAGGAGTTACTCCTGGCTTTGCCCTCAGGAATCACTCCTAGTGGTGTTCAGGAGACCATATGGGATGCTGGGAATCGAACCCAGGTCGGCTGCGTGCAAGATAAACACCCTACCTGCTATGCTACTGCTCCAGTCCCTAATTTGATTTTTAAACTTTTCTTGTTTTAATATATTCTCACTTCTCCAAGTATTCCTGACATTCTTTGTGGTCAGTTTAACATCTGTACTGGCGCTGGGTTACTGTGTGCTAGTGGGGAACGTGGTCTAGTGGGACAGGGCAATATTAATCCGACAAGCACACAAATGTGTCATGAACAGAATGTATCACCAAAAGTTCTCCTTAGCTAGAGGGCAAAGTTAAACTCTGCATAGATTGTATTTCAGGACCGAAAATAAATGTTTAAGGATTACATCTAGAAAGAACCCACAGGCGGAGTTTTTATCAAGCTTGTGATCTAGTATCTTTGTTTCAGCAGCTATATAATTAAAGTCGGAGTACACAGCCTTGCTCTATGGTCTTTGTTGCAGAGGAAGGCGAAGGCAGAAGGAAGCCTGAGAGTGAAGACAGATTAGCCCCAAACAGAACAGACAGAGCCGCGAGGTGGCACTGTGGAGCTAGAGATGAAGACATTTTCCCCCTAGCTAATAAACTAAGGGAACTGCCCAATTTTTATTTTCTATAACTCTAATAATACCGACCTTATGTCAGCTTTTG